AAGCATATATATATATGTATATATTTACATATATACATATATATATATATATATATATATTTTTTTTTTTTTTGTGGTATGTGGGCCTCTCACTGTTGTGGCCTATCCCGTTGCGGAGCACAGGCTCCGGACGCGCAGGCTCAGCGGCCATGGCTCACGGGCCCAGCCGCTCTGCGGCATGTGGGATCTTCCCGGACCGGGGCACGAACCCGTGTCTCCTGCATCGGCAGGCGGACTCTCAGCCACTGCGCCACCAGGGAAGCCCGAAAAGCATATATTTGATTAATAGAGGGCCAGGGACAGGCTTCTTTCTGTGACTTATTATAGTATGGGAATTAGTACTGTGGGCTTTTGAGTCAGACCAATCTACAAGCTGCCACTTGTTGGCTATGTGTCCTTGGGCAAGCTACTGAACTTTCATGCTTTAGTTTCTGTCTAAATGTGGATCTGTCAAAATGTAGATAACAATTATAGTCACTTATTGGGTTATTGTGTGTATTACATGAAAGTATCTATAAGTTTGATTAAAAGAGGTTTATAAACTTGGTCATAAGATAGGGAGAAGTGAGCAAAGACAGGAATTCAGAATGCCTTCAGGATGTGTGTAGTGAGGGTACATACTATGAGTTTGTTTATACTGAGCCTAAGCGCTCTAGCCACCCCTCTGTGGGGTGGCTTGCTAGGGGAGGCATGTGACAGGCTGCCTGTGGCCACAGAACAGAGTGAAGTGAATAGGCCATTTGGGAATCCAACTCACAACCCTGGCTTCATTTACTGTTCAGCTGGCCAAAATACCATGAAAAAGTGAATGGGATTAGAAATGCTGTCAAAGTAAACAGGAAGGCATGAGGACACCACAGGATAACTCGAGTTAACAAGCTGCTCTAAACAGCATCCTCTCTTTGTGCAATTTATTGTACAGGAGAGTTGGCTGGAATAGAAACCATTCTTAATCATTAAAAAACCACATTCTAATTTTCCTGGCTCTGCAGGCATTCCATGTATAATTCCAGACTTTTGTTGCTTACATTTCTTAGTTTTAGGAGGCAGTTTTCCAAAACCAGATACTTAATTATAGCTGCAACACTTAAAAGCCAATACCTCATTACCTAACTAGGAAGCTGAGAAATGTTTATCATTTCTCTTCCCCACTCAAAGGTTATTAATATTCATTTCGACTTGTCTGCTAGTCAACCTCTTTGTGAAGACATTGAGTTTTGGACTTGGAATTGTACTCCCACATAAAGCTAGAAAAATCTAATAAGGCTTTTATGGAAGTAGCATTTCCAACCTGACACTAACTGTTGGACCAAATATTGACCCATTACCGGGGCAACAATGCCTACTGGATTTTAACTTTTCAGTTCCTATACCGCTATTATTTCAGTTACACTTCATAAATCCTATTATGCTTCTTTTCAAATAATTCTTGGAAAATTGTGTTTGAGTGTACTGTAGGTGATGGGGAAAAGGTGGAAGAGAAATTAAAAAGAGGAAAAGACTGGTGCTGAATGATTATCGAGTGACGTATGACAGTATGTGCTAACTTCGTATCAGCATAGCAAGGCCAGATGGTTTATTTATAGTTTGTTATTTCAATAACATATGTTATCTGGTAATATAATAGGGAAGGGCCCACTTGTATAATTACTTTTAAACTCTGGATTTAAAAGTAAGGCTGTTAACAGAAAGAAAAAAAAAATCAGCCCTTTACATCTTCACCTGAATTGATAACTCTGGCACTAACTGATGAAGGGGTCCAACATGGAGGACTGTTCGGAGAGGAAGGTGCCAACTCCTAATAAGAGAATGCTACATTCTATAAGTTCTCGTAATTGGAAATCACGGTCTTGAACAGCAGCAGTGGCAACACAGATGCCAACTGAAACCTCAATGTTGGGTTTGTCCACCAAAATGTCAAACCTTCATGGCTGGTATTTTGGCACTGATGAAATAAAGGCACTAAGTATTATTGGCATTGAAAAAGAGCTCAGGGAAGAATCTCACTGAAGTGAGGGAAAAGAATCTAGAGACTTACACAGTACTCCTCAACCAAATGTTTGACTCTAAGTTTCTTACAAAATCAGAGCTACTAATACAGCAGCATAGCCTGTTTTGAGCTTTACCTCTTATTTGCCTACTCACTGGCGAGGGAACACAATAGCCCAACAAATGATCAAGACTTGGCTCTAAATGTCCCCCAGCAGCAGCTTCCTCCCTAAAGGTGAACACATCTTAAACAATGTAGCACAGCTGGGGGCAGCGGTCAGGAAATGGGAGGGTGGGCTTTGTGTGAGCAAAGTCTTTGGCTTACTTGAGAGTCCAGGGAGGGTGGGCTTTATGTGAGCAACGTCTTTGGCTTACTTGAGAGTCCAGGATATAGATTTGCAAACCACAGCCTCTTTAAACAGTGGTTGAGGCTATATATGAAATAACCTCTGTAATTTTCATGTACACCTGGTGAGAAAGAGTCATGAATCTCAAACACCTGGGGAAACAGAGATTTTTTTTCTCAGAGGCCCATTTGCTCCTTTTGAAAAGTGCTAAGACTGGAGGCCCAGGCGGAGCTTCCCACGTGATTCTGATTTAGTTCCCCTAACTGAGGATCACAACTGTAGTAGAACAGGAATGTCAGAAGAACTGAAGTTACTTAAACCTTTATGTCCATTTATCAAATATGGTTAACAACCCCTGCCCTCCCTACCTTATGAGAATAATAGCTAACAGTAATCGTTCAATAAATGTAAGCTATTACGTGCTATTAGGCACTGTCCTAAGAACTGTACATGTAATAACCACACATCTCATGGAAACTGATTCACAGAGAGGTTAAGGAACTTGCCAAAGGTCATACAGCTAGGGCTGGAATTCAAAGCTATGCAATCTAGAGATGTTTTTAACTGTTATTTACAGTGTTGTAAAGAATATATGAAACATGCATGAGGAAAGCATCTTACTTTGAAAAGTTAAGGGTGCTTTAAGTGGCAGCTGAATGAAGTTCCTGGAGGGAAGAGTCTGCATCTAGCCAGCACTTGCTACATCGTAGCTGCTCACAACTTCATTCAAAGGACCTGAAAATCTGATCTTTGCCTGTTTCCCTCAAATGCTGACTTTAGCCTATTGAAGCGCCACAGATAAAGTGACTCCTTTGACTACTGAAAATAAAGGGAGGAACTCTGCAGACCAGGTGCTTCACACAGGGCTTGGCAGGAGTGAATAAATAAGTGTTGGCTGAATTGAACATCTTCCAGGTGATGGATGTGTTGGCTGAATTGAATGTCTTCCAATCAAAGGCATTTGAAATGTGCTATTCATATTCTACAAAATAGCTTGAATTATTTAGAATGTCAAAACGGGAAAGGGCAAGTGGCAAGTTAAGGAAATTAAAGAGAAATGGGGTATAAATGGAATATTAAACCTTTGAAATTCAAAATTAAGAACCTGGTTATATATCCTTGAAGTCCTCTTTCCTGGCTTAGCAGGGAAGTGGGAGGGATGAGCTTCAGGGATGGAATAAGCCTATGCTTTAATACTGTAACACCTCTCATTTGTGTTGTACATACTTGCTGTAGGCATACTGATCCAAACAAGCTGCCTAACGGTTTTTTTAAAGGCTGACTTGACTTTTCATAATTCTATAACAACCCTTACACTTTTTAGCATGTGCTCAAACGTAGCTCAGAAATAAAACAGGTTTTTCTACCCCTTTAGGTGACAAAGTGGGTCCCTTATAGCAAGCTGGGCTTGTATTCCTGGCATTGGATCTAATGAAGTATTTGACTCACTTCACATCCAACAAAATGTTGTTTGGCTTGCTTATAACGTGCAAACAATCTCTAAAGAGCACATGCACAATGCAGGTTTTTCCACAATTCCTAGGAATCTGATGCGTAACCGGTTAATCCGTGATGTGGCATGATCCGAACCGAGGGCAGGCAAAGGATCTCCTATGGAGACCTGTGTGGGAAGCGGTGTGATGCTCAACGGGGCCAGCATTCAGCCCTGTATATAATTACAAAGCAGACACCTGTGCTGAACTGTCACAAGGAGGACAAGAACTCAGGTTCTCTAGTACGACATCCTCACCCAGTTTCTCTTCTGATGCGCATCTGTAAAATGTTGCCCACACCACCTAGGTGTGGAACGGATTCTCTCTGTGAGACTGCTTGTCCTTTGCTTTAAGAGCAGTGTGAGAGGAAGTCCTGTCCCTTTTGGGACTAGGAAAAGCAGAAGAACAGACCTAAGAGCAGCAGTGTGTCGGCTACAACAGGCTCTCAAAAAGCATATGTTAAACGCTGTGACCTATACAAGATCATTGCCACTGGCTAATTTCAACGTGAGGGTTAAAGCAACTCACACACACACCCACACACACTTAAAAAGAAAAAAGTAATGTCTAGACATGCATATTGCACAGTTGAGGTTTTAAAAAATGCCTCCTACACAGGGTGTCCCAAAAATCTTAAAGTTTTAAGTTATTAAGGCTGGGGATAGGGATGGTGGGCTGAACCTGCCTTCTGCCACCCCAACGGGGTAAGCTACACATGATTCTGATTTATCACCAACTGGAAGTGCAGCCTAGATTAAGAGACATTTTAAAGGACTAATTAGTCAACCCTTGCAAAAGTAAATTAAGGGCCTGTGTTGAAACAGCTAAACGGAAACTCTAATACAGCTTTGTAGCAAAAGTGCTTGGAGTGTATTCAAATAGAAAACCCTGGGCTGGAAATACTTGTTTCTAAAAAGAATTACACCACCCCACCCTCCTTTATCAAGTAATCCAAGCCACCTTAAACACTCAAGGTCTGATCAAGCAAGACGTATTTTATGAAAACCTTTCAGCCTGAACTAGATCATGTCCTTGGGAATAAACAAATTTTATTCAATGAGCAAGTAGAAGGGATTCTTGATTACTGCTATAGTTCTTTTGTGTAGACAGACTGCTTCTAGGTTAATGCAAAAGCTCAGAAAAGAACATCAGATAAGGTAAAAGGCTTTATTATTCAGGAGCAGCTCAAAGTCTGACACTGACACAAGCAGGGATAATTATTATCTCATTACATTTGACCTTTGGCACCCATTTGAAGTACTAGTTTTCCAAGTGGGAATGTTACACTCAGTAGACTCTCAGCACAGTTTCTGACAGCCACATTTATCCCCAATTTTACTCAGCAGAAACTGTCAGATGAGCAGGGATACAAAGAAGAAAACCACCTACTTTAGTTCTCTTTTTTATGGATCCTTTTCCCCACTGGCTTTCAAATCAAGAAAGATAGATTGCATTATTGGCAGGTATTGGTCATAAATAACACCTTCCCACAAACACACAAAAATCAAACATCAAATATAAGTAGAGTTCTTAAATATTCAGTTAATGCTACGGCATACTTTGTTTCGAAAATAGCATTTCTGTGGCTTTCCTTTATTTACCTTTCTCCTTGGATAAAACCAGGAGAACCCAGGCTTAACTGACCCATGCAGTTCTTGTTGTTACACCTTCGTTTATAACAATCAAAGGAATTAAAGAGTTATCATTAAGAATAGATTTTAAAATGACGACAAAAGTATGAATAAAGTCTACACAGTCCTCAGGGATGTGGATAAAATGAATCAAGTTTCATGACTGGAAGGGGACTCCCTTCCAAGGACATAGTACATAGAAGTACACGGAGCTTGTTTCTATGAGGTTACAAAGGGCTAAAATATAAAACAATGGTTCATTTGAAGCTGATTGATACGTAACTGTTAAGGTAAGGGATACTCAAGATATTTTGCACACTATTAACTGAGAGTCAGTCTGTACACTCTCTCTATTAAATACCTAGAGAAAATTCTATGATGTTTGGCTCAGGGCTCTACTAGAAGATCATTGCTTTTTCGTATATAAAGAGAATCCAAAAAATCAAGTTAAAGTCAAGATTTACTCTTTAGGTTCTGGATTTTCAGTTAAGAACTACCTACTTTTATAAAAATATCAATAAAAAATCATTACTTTTTCTTAAAATCTGATGACTTATTTTTTAAAAAAGTAGCAGCCCCTAGAGAACTGAAGACTGAATTCAAACTCCAGCTTCAGTGACTACTGATTCTATAAACATCTTCCTCCAGTAAATGGCAAAAACTATAACCTCTTCTAGAACGTGATGTTGGGTTGGAAACAGTAGATTGCTTGGTAAAAATATGAGAACCTTAGATCTCATGTGGGAGATATATACGGGGGGAAAAAAGACAAACATTTCTAGTGTTCTCCAAGTTTCTCCAACGAGCTGATATTTATCACTGCTTTTAAAATAAAGATGATTTTAACTTGAGATTGTATTTTAACACTGAATCAATATAAATTTGCTTATCTAAACATCACATTTTACTACATACTTAAAAAAACCCACAAAAATGTAGTGAAAAGATTATATATATTTTATATGAAACTGTATTTGTTGGAAGCAGCAGAGACCCAGGGTCCTCTTCAGCAGCTGACCTTCACAGACAGGCCTCCTGCTGTGGCCTGCAGATACTTTCCACTGTGCCCAGAAAGTTTCAGAGTAACGAGAGACAACACTTGTTTTTTTGCCTCTATGACATGGGATGTCATTATTGTAGGGAGGATGCATAATTTAAAAAGTAAAGGCTACTCATTCAAAATGTTACACAGTGACAAACTTACTTTATGAAATTTAAACACAGCATTCATTCCGAGGAAGCTGCACGGTACACCATGGCAGTAGAACCAGGCTAGGTAAATTTCGGAGTTGAAAGGATTTTCTCTAAAAAGGAAAAAACGGTAGCTTTCTTAAAACCAGAGTTACAGAGTCACTCTGTTGAATTTTTTATCTTGTTTTAATGGGTCAAAGTTCAGTTAACTCACTCAGATGAGAATCTATAATTCTGTTGACTGTTCTGGACTACAGTAGCCATCTTGGGACTTTCTATGGAAATATGTACAGATTTTCCGCATGGAGCTGGGAGTAATGGTGACCTAGAAGAAGAAAGTTTAGATTCTAAAGATTTTCTAAGACAAAGTTCAGCTGTTACCTCAGCAAGTTATCACTAAGGGTATTTTAAGTTAGGATGCCTAGAAATTTGCTTATTTAGTCAGATTTCAGTCTCAAATACTTTGATGGCAATGTCTCTTTTGGTTGATTTGTACTAAATACAGAAAAATTTAAGGCAGCATGCAAGGAAGGAGGAAACAGATTTTTCATGTGAACAGAAAATATTGCCAGTTAAGCCTCGTAATAGGAACCAAAGAGGTTACAATTACCATCCTCTCTGAAATACGTGAGTAAATCACCCTCCCAAATTTACAAACGAGATAGGTATTCAAATGGCAGATACTACCCTTTTCTGAAGTCTACATTATCAACATGTACATAAAGAAAAAAATTATTTTAAAGAAACGTAAGCTTCAAAGATTGAAATTATAAAGCCAGAAATATCTTGGACCGGCACACTATTTTTTAAAGCCTTTAAGGTGTACACATTCATGAAAACAATTTTTTATTGAAATTGCTTTTCTGCTAACACATAGCTCGGACTAGCTCCCTGAAATAAAATTCCTATAATAATAGGAATTTTAGCTAGGGGCAAAGATCAACTACAGGGATAATTTTGAGAGAAAAAAGGAAAGACTACTTATAGTTTTTTTTTTTTTTTAATATTCTGTAGCAGGTCTTGGAATTTGTGTTTGAAGTAATCTTTAAAATATTTCTACCTCCACCATATGATGATATAGCAATAAGACAACTCATCTGCAAGCCAAGAAATGGACCCTCACCAGGATGAGAATAGCACCTTGATCTTGGACTTCCCAGCTTCCAGAACTGTGAGAAATAAATGTCTGTTGTTTAAGCCAAAAAAAACCCCAAAAACTTCTAGTTTATCTTTCCTAAAATTATGGGATAGGCTTCATGACAGTAGGAGGGGGATATGAACACTTATTAAACTAGAACTGGCCTAAGGTTATCTAGCTTCTGCCCTTTAAATGGGCAGATGTTACTGATCATGATTTCTAAATTGGGTTTCAATCGTTCTTCCACCTTCTCCGTAACACAGAGAAAGAGCTACTATGAACTACAGGAGAAACTTCCTTAACCCACCTCCATCCTTAACTTGCAAACTGAGTAGCAGAAGCTTTCTATTCCCTTTGAGTGGAACCCATAGCTCACCCAATGCTCACAGCTACTTCTGCCTCCACCATGAGTCACTTGGTTTTCAAGGTTCACAAAGCTATTTCTGCCAGCAATATCTGTTTTTGAAATTATCTAAGTTAAATAAAAAGATAAGTAAAGTTAAACTGAATGTTTAAAAAAAGGCAGATACAGGTGAGTTGCCAAAAATACCAGTGTGAGCAAGATGATCGTAAAAGACTGGGGAAAAATCATAAAAATCTAGAAGGATTCTTCACTTAAATTGCTTTGTAAGTATCTTAATTTTGCTTTAAATAATTATAAGCTGTAATTACATATTGAAAATCTATTTATGGATGTTGGCAACTTGTCCATGAATTACAGCTTTGTCTATAAAAAGGGGAGAGAATCTATGAAAAGAGGCTGCAGGGGCTGGGGGGTAGGGGAGGGAATAATGTCAAACAAAGGAAAGGGAAGATATTTTTGAATTGACATCCTGGAGGATGAAGAAGTCTTTGATGAATCAGGCAATGGGGCTGAGGGGTATGGACCTTGACAGATGGGATTTTTTTTTTTGTGGTACGCGGGTCTCTTTCACTGTTGTGGCCTCTCCTGTTGCGGAGCACAGGCTCCGGACGCGCAGGCTCAGCGGCCATGGCTCACGGGCCTAGTTGCTCCGCGGCATGTGGGATCCTCCCGGACTGGGGCACGAACCCGTGTCCCCCGCATAGGCAGGCAGACTCTGAACCACTGCGCCACCAGGGAAGCCCGACAGATGGGATTTTAATGGAAGTAAATAGGATTGCCAGATAAAATACAGGACATACCCAGCTACATTTGAATTTCAAGCAACAAATAACTTTTAGTATGAAAAACTTTTAGTATAAATATGTCCCACAAATATTTGTCCTGCATTTTTATGTGCTAAATCTGGCAATCCTAGGAATAAATAGATTTACTTTAAAAAAAAAAAAAGCATTCTGACTTTTGAGAAGAGATCTGTGCCTGCCCTGGCCAAGTTGGGAAATGCATCTTCTACCACTGCCAACTTACCGGGCCTGGAGAAGTCTTTCCACTCTGCCTCCTAGGGTTGGGGGTCTGGGATGATGGACTTCGTGGAGACGAATTCTCAGCCTTCCGTTTGGCTGCCATGGCCAATAACCAGTTTTTATTCTCTGGGGAGCTATTCTCTTTGCCTACCACTTCAGAGCCTTCTCCACAAGATCCCAAAGGAAGAGGTAGCGTTCCACAGCCTTCTGAAGCATAAGGACTGGCAGGAGAAGGAGGCTCTGTGACACTCATACTAGTCCCTTCAATCTTGCTTGGTTTGGTAGGACCTAGAGAGTCCTTACCAAGGTCTTCCTGGTTACCAGCAAGGCAGCACAGATCCAAATGAAGCTTTTCAACTGGGTCATCAAGCTCAGTCACACAGTTGCAACTCTTTACACACTTTTGTTTCACATTCTCCAGACAACTTGAGTCTAGCCTCCTCTTTACTCTATTTCTAGACTCAGAGCAAGTCACTGCTTGGGATGATTTCAGGCTCACAGGTATAAGGGCTTTTCTTGGAGACATGATCTTGGTCTCAGAAGCAGGTGGAGTCATGGGTGGTGATAAGGAAGGTGTCCGGGTCATCCAGTTCCTAATGGACATCTTGAAAGATGAGGGTGGCTTGGGAGAGACAGAGGACACGGAGCCTCTTCTGCTGATGGGAGATCGGGTCTTGGCAGGAGGGGTTTTAAGAGAGAATGTGGCAGTATTTGAAGGAAGAGGGAGGTCTCCAGCACAGCTTGGAGCACAAGCTGCTGATGACGGGGAGGAAATGCATGGACTGCTCTTTACTCTGGGGGCTTTGGCAGGAGTACTCTGGCTACTTGTCACTGTTACTGAAAAAGAAAAGAGGGTCACAAAAATCAGAAGTGAAAGCCATAGAATACCCCCAAGTTCTCATCAAGGAAAATTATAGCTAACTTAATCATCCAGGGGTTGATTTCCCAGTGAACAGATCACATAAGTCATTTGATTCTTACTGGACCCTTTTAGCATTTTCCTTCCCTTTTCCTAACTGCCAGCCCCCCAAACACCCTGCTGTAAAACACATACTTGTAAAAATCTAGAAATTACAGAAAAACTTAACAGCATCCAAGTGAACCACTTTTAATGTTTTTTCTATACTTGTGCATGTGATATAATACATCTTTTTCTACACCAAAATGGGACCATGATGTACCAAATATTTAGTAACCTGCTTCATAACATATCATGAACATTTCCCACATTAATACAGATTTATATCACTTTTAACAGCTACAAAGTATCCTAAGGTAACAGTAAGACATTAGGGTTGTTAATGATATTTTGTTTTCATAAGTAAAGTTGCCATTAGCATTCCTGTGTATACTTCTGAGCACAGGGCAGAGAGGCACCGTACACTAAGGAGCATACAGGTCTACAATCTGGCACAATCACTATGTGACTTGGTACAACCGTTCACCTCTGCCTCGGTTTCCATATCTATTAAATGGAGATTTTTAATCTCCATAAGAAGTAATTCCATCAATTACTTGTTATCAGGCCTCATGTGGCTTTCCACCTTAATTTACAATTTATGATTTTCCACAAGCCAAAGAATGTCAAAGAACATTTCAGAAACTCAATGCACGCTCTCTGTAAAGCAAATCAAATAGTGGATAGAACTCTTCTCTATGTGTCCTGTCCCTTGTTTACAGGCAATGACAAATACTTCAGGCAAATTCTTAAAAACTGGGACTTTCCTGGTGGCGCAGTGGTTAAGAATCCGCCTGCCAATGCAGGGGACACGGTTTCGAGCCCTGGTTCGGGGAGATCCCACATTCTGTGGAGCAACTAAGCCCTTACACCACAACTACTGAGCCTGAGCTCTAGTGCCTGCGAGCCACAACTACTGAGCCCGCATGCCACAACTACTGAAGCCCTTGCGCCTAGAGCCAGTGCTCTGCAAAGAAGAACAGCCCCCACTCGCTGCAACTACAGAAAGCCCGGGCGCAGCAACAGAGACACAACACAGCCAAAAATAAATTAAAAAGAAAGTTATAAAAAAAAAAAAAGACTACAGCAAGCACTTGAGATAGAACAGGTAAGGTTTCCTTCTCTTTAAGATAACCATTTTTGTCACTTAGTAATACTTGACCAGAGGTTCTCAATCTGGCTGCATAGCGGACTTAATGTGGAGCTTTATAATAATACAGGTACTTGGCCCCTACCCCAGGCCTACTGAACAATTTCTGGAGACAAACTTTTAAAAAGTTCCACAAGTGGCTATGATGCACAGACAAGGCAGAGAACCATTCGCCCTGACGGTGCTATGAAATCTCTGGCTGAAACAGTGAAAGAATAGTAAACAACAGAGCAGGTGCTGACTGCGAAAAGTAGGACAAGGTAAAAGGGGCTGCGCCTTGGGATTTAAAGCCTTCTAGTTACTAGGTTAAAAGGGCCAGAAGAGAAGGCAGGCAGTCCAGGACAGCAGTGAAGGGTTGGGGTGGCAATTAGAGGCTTGGGAAAGCATAGGGACATAATTTTCAAAATGGCAGTGTGATTAGCAGCAGCCAATCCATTGCTGCAGGTTGGCTTACAGGGCCGAATGGCCAGTGCACCAGCCTTTGGCCCTTGCGTCAGGTTGTTGCTCTGTAGTGCTCTTCAGAGTTAACTCTAGCATCACCCAGAGACAGAGAAATCTAGGTCTAGCTCCTGGTCCAGGCTTAGTTTGAACTTCGCTTTGCTGTGCTGGGTTAAAGGAGGCAGTACTGCAAGGTGTTTCCAAGCATGAGCTTTAGAATCAGACTGCAAGGGTCTGAACTCTGATTCTACTACAGCTTCACAGCTGTGTGATCTTAGGCAAGCCTAAGTTCCTTGAGTTTCAGTTTCGGTTGTTTGGGGAATTAAACGAGATAATCCAAGTAGGTCCTTAGAACAACTGTATTAATATTCAATAATGGCTAAATGTTATTAGTATGGTACAAATTTGGTCAACGTATGTAACTTTTTTGTGACTTGACCTCCAAAACTAAGAATAATTAATGACACACTAAAAACACCTAGTTAGGGACTTCCCTGGTGGTCTAGTGATTAAGATTTCGCTTTTCATCGCGGGGGGTACAGGTTCGATCCCTGTTCGGGGAGCTAAGATCCCATATGCCTTGTGGCCAAAAAACCAAAAAACATAAAACAGAAGCAAAACTGTGACAAATTCAATAAAGACTTTAAAAATGGTCCATGTCAAAAAAATCTTAAAAAAACAAAAACACCTAGTTAAAAGAAACATAATTTTCATCAAAAATGTTATAATGTTTATAGCCATTAACACAGAAATTCCACCTCTGGGAATCTATTTTAATGGGAGATGGGGACCCTAAATTCAGAAAAAAATTTTTTCCCACAAAACATTGGAAATAAGATGTCCAACTACAAAAGAAAGAATAGCTAGGTAAACTGGAACATTTACCCAGGGGATGATTCAAAATGTTTTGCTAAAAAGATAACACGGAAAGTGCTTAGAATATCATGTTCAGTGAAAAAAATCCTCAAGAAATCCAAATATATCTGTAGTATAACTATGACTGTTAACAAGAAAGTCTCTATGGATAAGGGAGTAAAATCTCAAAAAATAACTCTAAATGTTAACTGAAATTTTGTATGAGTGGTGGCGATGCTGATGGCCTTTTCCTCATATAATTCATTTTTGTTTTTCAAAATTAGGGAGCAAAAAATACATATAAAGACAAGGCAGCAGAGGGACTTCCCTGGTGGCACAGTGGTTAAGAATCCACCTGCCAAGGCAGGGTACACAGGTTCGAGCCCTGGTCCGGGAAGATGCCACGGAGCAACTAAGCCCATGCGCCACAACTACTGAGCCTGCATGCCCCAACTACTGAAGCCTGGGTGCCTAGAGCCCGTGAGCCTAGAGCTCGTGCTCCGTAACAAGAGAAGCCACCGCAATGAGAAGCCCACGCACCGCAACGAAGAGTAGCCCCTGCTCACCGCAGCTAGAGAAAGCCCGCGCGCAGCAACAAAGACCCAATGCAGCCAAAAATAAATAAAACATTAAATTACTGAAAAAAATTAAAAAACAAACAAACAAACCATATGACTGGTTAAAACCAACTTTCCACCTACAGTGTACCTGTACCTGTGCAGCAGACGCACAACCATGCTGACTGCTCACTTTCAATGAGTGAGTGCTAGCCTTAGGTTGACTCTTATGCCCAACATCATATTTCCCTGGTCCATTTACTCTTCTATTCTCTATATGACTATTCCAGACTTTCTTTTCTCTCCTCAAATCTCTATCACTTCCACCCCTCATCCTTATTCTCAGTTGATGATCCTCATTCCTATCTAAGAAAATAGAAGCTGTCAGAACAGTTGGAAACTTCTGCAAGTTCTGACCGTCCCATTTATCCACCTACCTTCACTGTGCCTATATTTCTGCCTTCTGGTTACTATGGATGAACTATCCACACCCCTGACAAAGGACTACACTTCAGCATGTATATTAGATATCATCCCCTCACTCGAGGACACTGGTCCAGCAAACTTCCCTGCATTGATTTTCCCCTTCACTATAGGATCCTTTCAATCACATACAAAATGCTATATTCTCATTAAAAACAAAACAAGGGGCTTCCCTGGTGGCGCAGTGGTTGAGAGTCCGCCTGCCGATGCAGGGGACACGGGTTCGTGCCTCGGTCCGGGAAGATCCCACATGCCACAGAGCGGCTGGGCCCGTGAGCCACGGCTGCTGAGCCTGCGCGTCCGGAGCCTGTGCTCCGCAACGGAAGAGGCCACAACAGTGAGAGGCCCGCGTACCACAAAAAACAAAACAAAACAAAACAAAACAACAAAACAAAATCAAAACAAACTTCAACACAGCTTCCTCCTTCAGCTACCACTTCATCTCTCTTCTTTCCTTTCTAGGAAGACTCCTTGAAAGAGCCTTCTCTTCTCCCATCCTCCTGAACAACACTAATGAGGCCACCAACACACCACCAAAAACTGCTCTCACTAAGGTTGCCCGCACTGCCAAATCTAAAGGTCAGTTTTTAGCCTTCATCGTACATTGCATGCCAAAAACATCTGACCTCTCTTAGTTTACACAATACTCTCCTGGTTTTTCTCTTACTTCTCAGGTTGTACCTGCTCCTTCACCTCTCCAATTTCTAAATATTAGGATGTTCCAAGGCTCAGACCCCAGACCTATTCTCTTTTCCATCTATAGCTACCTTTTACCAATATGATGATGAATCCCAAATTTACAACTCCAGCCCTAAATTGCAGAATTAAACATCTAACTGCCTCTCTGACATCCCCACTTAGATGTCTAACAATATCAAACAACATACCCAGCTGTTCCCTCCCCCAAACCTGTTTCTCCTGCAGTGATTCCTATATAGGTTAACGGCAACTCCACCCTTCTAGCTTCTCAAGCCATAAATTCTGAAGTTATCCTTGATAACTCTCCCTTACGTCCCACAGCACATTCTGTTGGCTCCATCATGTAAATATATCCACATTTTGAAGACTTTTTGTCCTACCATTTGCTACCTCTTTGGTCTAAGTCACCATCATTGCTTCCTGCGTTATTTCAATGAGTTTTTAAATTAGCTTGCAGCTTTTACCCTGATCCCCTTACAATTAGTTTTCAACACAGAAGTTAGAATGATCAAGTTAAGAAAAGTCAGATCATACACTTCTCTATTCAAAACCCTCCAACAGCTTTCTGTCTGTCAGAATAAAAGCCAAAATCATACAAGAACCTTATTTTCCACTACTATTCCCCTCTTCTCTTTTGCCCGCTTTAGCCACAGGGACTACAGCTACATTAGCCTCTTTGAGGAACACAAAATATGCCAGGCCTGCTCCTGCTTCAGGGCTTTGGCATTTGCTGTTTTGTCTGCTTAGAACATTCTCTAAAATATCCATATGGCTTACTACTTCATTACTTCAATTTTTTTACTCAGATACCATCTTTTCATTGAGGTCTCCCTGGGTACCTAATTTAAAATTTTAACAGCATGCTTTGCTACTCTCTCATTCCTTCTTTCCTTTTTCCCTACACATATTGTTATCTGACAAATTTTACTTCTTTAACTTGTTTGCTGACTCTCACACTAATATGTAAGCTTCATTTACATCTTTGAGATTTTGAATCTTTTGTTTATTGCAGAATCCCCAGGAACTTAGAACAGTGCCTAGAACATAGTAGATGTTCAACAAATACTTAAAAAATAAATCTACTGGTGTATTCCAGTGCCTTGTGTAGATGATAAACACAGTAGTGTTCAGAAAACATATATTAAAAAGAATGTCAATGAGACGGTGCTTTCCTCTGAAAACATACCAAAATAAGATTAAATCTAGCTCACCATCTGTACTACAGAACTAAATCAATCAAACCATTAAAAAACTTAGAAAAATGCATGGGATACTTACCTAGGTCGGCTCTCGCCTCTCTCTTCTTCTGAGAGGCCCAGCCCACTATGGAGAGTTTATCTCCTCCTGATTTCTCTTCTAAGTCTCTATTCAAGCGCCAGACTTTCAGTGTATTGTCATCAGAGCAGGTAGCAATCTACAGAGAACCAGGAAGGGAGTTAATAAGTTTCAATCAAAGATTCACGACAAAGTAAAAAACAGGTATGTCTTAAGGGCTGATGATTAGAGAATTATTCTGCCTGATGTAACAGGATATAGAAAATGTTATCTGAAAGGTCAGATACTTTCATTCCTTGCTTTCAGGAATCATTCCAGATTTCCAAAGTAGTGAATCCTTTAGTTTCTTCTTTATATACATTCTGCTGGTATGACTTTTGTGACCAGTGGTTTCTTATCTACCTAAAGCTCTACTATAAAACCAGGTTCATTTCATTTTATTCTCAAGAAGTTGGGCAAGTCATTATCTTTATCACCTTCTGTGTAACTACAAAACATGTAATTAAATTAAGATGTCATTTTTACTCTTTCTCTTAAAAGATCAGTCAGTGTATGTCACTGACATTTAATTTGTATGACTTTCCTCTGACTTCCTCAAGTTCTGGCTTATTGTTAAAGTAATGGGATTATTCCCAAGATCTGATTTAGTCCATGACTCTAGTATGCTGTGGCAAGTAGAATGAAACCTTTCCCTAAGATTATTTTTCAGATAGGTAAAGGAGCAATCTGGGAAAACGACACGTTCACTAGACTGAAAAAAGTTAAAAATAACTTTTGCCCCTTTAAAAATATCTAACCATTCCTGATCTTGGTCCCAAGCCTTTTATGGCAGAGAAAGTCCAGCTTGAAGAGCTTGTGGCAAATGGCCACTGGTACCAGAGCTATTCCCCAGCATTTGTTTATATAATTTCTCTATTTCAGTAACTAAAGAGAGAGGAAAAAAAAGAACACACGTTCTCTTAAGTCTTGGTCCCCAAGAAGCTGGCAGCTTTTTCCTTTCCTCACTGGGAGGCCAAAAGAAGACACACATATTTAACTGCTCAAAAGAAATGCCTGGAATCCCCAGTTATTCTATAGTCTATAAACAAGTTATTATTTACAGAGCAACTACTAAATCTGAGTGTCTGAAAATTTATGTTCATCTTATTTAATTCTCACAATATAAAAAGCCTTATACTCAAATAACCTCATCTACAAAATGGGAATAAAGTTATTTGCCCAAGGTCACCACAATTAAGTGGCAGAGCTAGAATTTAAATCCAAGTTTTTCCAATTTCAAAGTGTAAATCTTTTTTTTTTTTTTTTTTAAAGCGGTATTTTATCTTCCTAATTCTAGGCTCGGGACAAAATTATTTTAAAGAACCTTTTAAAAAGGTGGTCATTAAATTGGTATGAGTAAACAGCCCTGCTACTTCCTTTGAGTCTTTTCTGTGCAAAGAGATAAGGGCAATATATGATGGATGGAAAAGGATGATAATTAACTGAATAATAAAAAAAAATCATCTCAGTAAGTTCTATGAAGATATAAAATTCCACATTAAAAGCAGACGTTTCACTGGAAATCACAGGGAATCTTTGAGGGAAAATGCCATTAGGGTGTAATTTTTGGTGATTAAAGCAATGATTTCAAAAAAAGTCTATCATGAAGCTCATCACAGAAATGGTTATATAGGGATATAGAAATAAAAGGAAATCCACAGCGGTACTGGAAAGCTAGCAGGGATGCCATGAGTAGATCAGACCATGAGAAGATTCCGGAAGATAAAAAAACAGATGGGAATAATAGGCAACAAACCTTCAAAACATAATAGATAAAAAGGAGCTCTCCACAGAAGGGACATTTCCTGCAAACCCAAAATAACCCAAAGACCAAAGGTAGGCCCTGGAGAAGTGAGTGGAACTCGGGCCACTATTATATGAAATCCCTACATGTATGTGGAGTTTGTTTATGTTTCTGGGATTTCTACCTTTCAGGTTTTTTACTTGTTTTTAGTATCACTATTAAAATAATTTTTAAGTGAGTATATTTTCTTCTTTTCAAAGTGTCTAAAATACTTTGGAGCTACTTCTCTAGTTTAGTCACAGACAGCCTAACACGTTAAGACTTCACAGTAAGCACTTTTCAGGCATGTGAGAACCCAAACTGGACTGTGAAGAACAGTCAAGGTGTTACCTTTAATACACCACATTGATAATATGTAGAAAGTTAGAAACACTAGTTTTCACCTTAGATTTTCTTTTTACCTTCGACTTAAAAATGAAATTTTATTAATGTTAAAAACTTAAAACCTATGTTTAGGAAACGAATGACTCTAGGGAACTAAGAAATCCACTTATTCTTTAGTGCATAATACAGTTTATCTATTGGTATAAAAAATAGAATATGTGTGATTAATGATGATACAGATTCTGGATGGCCTCTAGATCTTTTAAATGTCTATATAAACATAAAAGTCTGTATTAACTCTCAAGCTAACCTTGGAAAAACCTACAAACCTGTGATCTACTTTTTAAACCAACCACAGATTCATCTACAAACCTTTGTGAAGTCTGATGGACACCAGCACACAGATGTGACCTCTTGAGAATGACCCAGGAGCACAGTAGGAGGATGCCAGGGTATGGAGACCTATCACAACATCAGAAAGAAAAAAACAAGTCAGCAGAGCAGTGGTAGGTCTCCCAGACAGAGGCTTCGAATCTCTCCATATCTGTACCTTAGAGAGCTTTAGGGTTGTTACCAAAAGCCCCTAGACATGCCTACTTATACCTCAGAAAAAGTCCCAATGGGCAATGAAAGTATTTCTGTCATTAATCTGAGAAAACAGAATGAAAATAGCCAAAATAAGTAAACAATATGAGCTTAGATACCAGGACAGGTCTTATTTCAAATCAGGACAACTTAGCTATACGTATTTTGACTAAAATTCAAGACTGAAAGGGTAAGGTTCAGCAACTAGGTAGTACACTTCAAGTGGAGCCTAGACAGCTTTAGATCTTCTCTAGTCAGCTACTTCCAGGAACGCTGCACTTACTAAGTCCTGAAGGTACCTGAGACATGCTAGCAGATCTCTTGGGACAAGAGGACAGTCTTTCTTCCAAAAGAAGACTCACTGACTTTTAAGAAAGCCCAAAGTTATACTCCTTCATTTTGAAGGGGTATAAACTATATTCTACATGGCACTTTTTATCCATTTTGGAAAAAAAATTCCTCTAAAATTTTATTTAAGTTCATTTGCTTAAAGAAATCTTGAATTTTCAAGTTAAGTATTGCCACATCTCAATACATTTTAATGTATAAAGAAGGGTCACATTGTGCAGTACTACACATGTGACTAAGAATATTTTCACGCTCATTCGATGCCATTAGTGATGTGCATTTGACAGCTGACTCATTCAAGAGCTGTCAATCCCTATCAGAGGCCATGGGCATTAATCAGCACAACATGGAGTACAAACTCACACAGCTATTACTAGCACATGTTTGAAAAAGAGAAATTATTCTCTTTTCATTTTCCTGAGGCTCTGAATCATTGCTCATTTGTATGAAGAAAGTGGAGGCATTCTGGGAAGAATATTTGTGAGAATTACTAAGTAAGCTTAATGGACTCCTCAGACTGTAGTTAAAGAGATTCGACACACTGATTCATAAGGTTACCCAACTCAATTATTACTACTCCTCTCTTGGGTTAAATGGCATATATGTAATGATTCAAAAAGCCGAAGAAGACAAAGAGCAGAATCTAATTTGCCTTGATGGGCTTTTTCTTGAGATCTAAAAGGACCTCACTTGCTGCCTACTCCTACAATGCCACAGAGAACAAGAGCTCATTCTTTCACAAGGTAGCATATTTTAGAAAAGACTTTCAAGATAGTCTCTATCTCAAGTCACAGAAATTCTTTATGGCCCCAGCCCATAAAGTTTCTCTACCCAAGGCCCAAGGAGTACTGCAAGCAGCAAGTTAAAAGGAAGAGGAAATCCTCATGTCCTCCTGACCCTCCCTGGTAACAACACATTATTTTACTCCATTGGTTTACTTGCCTGTTGCTTCTAGCTCTTTATTTCATGATCCTGCTCCTTCCTCATTTTCCTAGGCATTAAAATACCTAGGAAAACCTGACTGTCTATACCAAAGATTAAAATTAATGTCAAGAAAAAACAAATATCCACCAATAGAATGCATGTACATTTCTGCATTTATCTATAGGATTTAAAAGAAAAAAAACACAAAGGGTAGACCTGTTAGAAAAACTTTTTACAATTTGATAATAAGGCAGGAATAATAATAGTAACAAAAGTCAGCATTTATTGAAATGATTACCATGAGCCAGGTACTTTACACAGCATTAAAAGTGAGGGGAAGGTTCCTCAAACAGTTAAACACAGAATTAATTACCACATGACCCAGCAATTCTACTCTTAGGTATACACTCCCAGGAGAACTGAAGACATGTTCAAACAAAAATCTGTACATGAATGTTCATAGTAGCTTTGTTCATAAAGCCAAAAAGTGGAATAATTTAAATCTCCATCAACTGATGAATAAATAAGTAAAGCAAGGTCTATACATACAATGGAATATTCAGTCGTAAAGAGGAATGAAGTACTGATACATGCAACAACATGGATAAACCTTGAAAACATTAAGTGAAAGCAAAGCCAGGCATAAAAGATCATTTATAGGAAATGTTCAGAATAGTCAAATCCCTAGAGACAGAACATAGGTTAGTAGTTGCCAGAAGCTGAAAGTGACTCTTAAAGGGTATGGGGTGATGAAAATATTTGGGAATGAGACAGGGGGGATGGTTGCACAATACTGTGCTTATGTGAAAAAAAAAATCACTGAATTGTACACTTTAAGGTGACTACAATGGTGAATTTTACATTATACAAATTCTATCTCAACAAAAAAAAGTGGAGGGAAGGGCATGTTGTGGGCTGGAATGAGAACTGATGTCCAACAAGTTTTTATGAACGTTAGTAACAAGTGCTTTCACAGTTGAGGACTATCCTAGTATGGTAAACTATACTTGGTGACTACTTCAAAGAAGATTAATTTCTTCTAATGAAACTCAGGTGACTTTTAAATCCTTCATTTTTATTCAAATAAGTTTTTATTTATTGTCACTTCATTATTATAAAAATATTATCACAATGATAATTTCATTTTTTAAAAACCTCCCTCTACTTTCAAACAAGAAGAGGTGACTATTAAATCCAAGAGACATTTAAACATCTATGCATTCTGAGAATGGTCAAAACACAGAAAATTGTCCTCTCTTACAAATTTTACTTGTTATAGAATAAAGGCTAACTCAAGGCATGAGAAATTCCGAAGTTAAAGCTCCCAGAACTATGAAGTAACTGGCTCTAACCTATAGACTTCATAAAACATTTTGTATACTTAAACATGCAAAAAAAGATCAGCACTTTTCCTCAAAAAACCTCCTTACTCTGCCCAGTTAGAAACCAAACCTAATCTTCATTTTTGCCATGAGATCATTTACACTTCCTAAAGTGTCAGGCTCAATGTTTTGCCAATCAGTGGTAGAATGATGGTGCCAAATCAGTTTATTTATAACCACTTCAATACTATTCAGTGGCTCTACCAGAAATGAACCAGGGAAGGGGAGGTGGGTAGGGGTAAGAGGAGGACAAGGCGTAGGAAATTAAAAAAGAAAAATAACATAATATTAAATCTTTTAATTCTTAAGTCTTAGGCCTCAGTGTCAGAAAGTCTAATTATGTTACACCTCCTCTTTGCTGGCCAGTGGTGAGGATTAAAAGGCCATTCTCTTCTGTCTTGACATCTAAAACTCCCTTCTTTCACCCTGTTTTCTTGGGCCCATGGGCTTTTTTGGCATAGGAGGATCCTAACACCTGAGAGAATTCTGACCTAACAGCCTGAATACTCAGCTTGTGTGCAATTTTTTTTAAACTACACCCCTCCCACTTTTCCTTATCATGGAAAAGAGAAACTGAGCCACCTCACTAGGCACATTCAATTTTAGGAGCTTTAAGTTTGCCAGGATCTCAAATATCAGAACCTGCACACTGAGTTATGTGTGGACAGGCAGGAGAACATCATGTTTGAACCACATCATTCAGCACCGACATGTGACCCAGCCTAGAATTCAGAAAGGATCACCCATGTGTGTGATACCTACTGATTGAATGTCTGAAAATGGGTTACTAATGAACCACCAAGTATCTTTACTTCATGTCTTTAAAGAGAGGAAGCATCCCTCAACCCTGATTTACTGAAACCAAGAAGGAAAAAAAAAAAAAAAAAAAAAAAGCAAGCATTCGTACTAGAGCTAGGGAGGAACTTTAAGGCTTGGCAATAAAAAGAAAAAAACAAAACACAGGAAACAAATTAAAGAATTGGCAATAAGACTATACATACACACATACATAATATATAATTATATATATATATATAATTAAGAAGCTGATTTTAAATGATTTAAAAAAATGATCAGTGCCTAAAGTTTTTTTGTTTTTGCATAATCCTTTATTATACTTTTTGGTATGTCTGAAATTTTGTTTTTAAGAAAAAACTTAAAAAGATACAGACCTTGGTAGGAATAAAATCCTCTAAGTTGGGAACCAAAGTAGAGAAGGGAAATGTAGGTAAAACAGTGAGGGAAGGGGAAAGGGAAAACCAAAAGACAATAAATACACAGCATAAGACCAGATTATGCGACAGAAACATTAGTGCTAGTCACATAAAGTCTAAAGCTCAAGTCAGAAGAATTTTATAGACAGGAAGCTATGCAAAAACTCTTACCATAAGAGGGGGTTCTCAACTGTATATTTTATAAGCAAATTTTTCATTTTAAAAATACAACAAATGTGCTTGAAGAAAAAGAGGTAAGGTCAACACAAAGGCATCTTGGATAGAACAACATCTCCACCTTGTGACCATCTAGGTTATTGTTACTAAAGCTTTTGATAAGGTAGTGTTGCATTTTTGCAACTAGAGTTGCAAACCTAGAGGTATATAGAAAAAGCATTTTTTAGTACCTCCCTCAGGACCAGATGAAATTAAGCTGAAGAATTATGCTTCATACCTGACAGGATCTACCCCGTCCTGCATTAAAGATATGACTTTCTAGAGATTGGCAGTACTAAGAATGATACAATTTCCTCCTGAGAAGGAATTTGATAATATTGAACCTATAGGTCTATGAAGTTTTAGACATTATGACTCTAAAATCCAAAATGTGTGAACTCTGATCATTCAATTCACCAATATCAAGGAAGTTTATGATATTATAGGGCAATCTGGAAGATAATAATTTCTAGCCCTAGGAAAACAATGCCTTAATGCTCTTATTCCTTCTCTGAACTCAGACATTTCTGTAATTAATTATTCCACAAGAGGCATTTTCCAGTGGTCAGCAAGTGCTACTTATATTTCAATTTTCTCCACTTGACTTCAAATTGACAGCATTACGTTTCTTAGCCTAGAGTAGTCACTTTAGAACCACTGTTTATTTAAAATGTAAAAAAAGAAATTATAAATTTCTGTAACAGAAGTGGGAAATCTGTAAAATAAATAAATAATTGAATAAATAATGCTATTAAAGATATACAAAACTAACAAAGCAACCACATCTATTTCAATAGCCTGAAGATTGGCCACTTAGAGGAGACTAAAGAACACAACTATTATATGAATATTTTTGAGTGAGTGTTTTTTGCAAGTGTGATTCGGGGGTAGGATTCTAGGATCCAAACACTGTGTTTTGAATGAGAGTTTGAAAACACAGGGCAGAAAGGCAGAACAGCATGTTTTTCCAGGAAGCAGGACAAAGTATTTAAGATTCTTTCCAGTCTTCTGAATTCTCAACTTCCTGATAATCTGTAAAACTGTTGGAGGATATGGACTGTCAATTTCTAAGAAGCTGACCATGAAAGTGTGATATCTTCTGTCAGAATCAGAGTGAAGTTTTGGCTATATTAAGAGGCAAGAAGCAATTTTTACTAAACATCTGGTACAGAAAAGTTAAAGTATGTGTTTACATTAACCTTACCTCCCCTTGGACAGAAGAAATATTTGCAAGAATACTTCAGCCTCACCTTTGTGGGGAAAGTTTGGTAACTTACCTTCCAGATGTAGGCAGCTTCATCACTTGAGCCACTGACTAAAAACTGGTCATCTGGACTAATACTGGACTTAACATAAAAGGTAGAGTTCTGATGTCCATTGAAGATAGCCACTGCCAGAGGAAAAAAAATCAAATTACTTGGCTCTTGTTATTTCCAGTTTTCAAATAAATGAGGAGTATACATGTTCTAACAAGTTTTATTAGTGTACTGATTACTGAAGCAGATGGTCAAGCTAGTCACCAAATAAAAAAGAACTGGACATTGGCAGGGAAAGAATGGAAATCCTAGAAAGAGGCTTTATATTACACCCAATCTCACAATCTAAGCCCAAATACTTGGTATGGAGCTGGCTGTAGAGAAGAAAGTGATGAAAAATATTCTTAAAGGACAAGAATGGAGCTGGGGTCCAATCCTTTAGTAAAACGCCTTTATTAGACCCTCTCTCCCCACCCTAGGCTAGGTTTCTTCCGTTGCATTAAACATTCGTCTTTCCTCCTCTTAGACTTATCTTAAGGATAAATTTCATAAATATCGTTTTCTTTCCTCACTAGACCTTATAATGCTTTGAACAGAGGAGATCTTCAAACATTTGTTGTATGAACAGGTAAAAATCAATGAAAGGAGAGTTAAGATTTATGGATAGCTTATCTGAGATGTGGTAACCTTAAATCTAGCACTTTAAATAGGCTGAAGTGGGGTAAGCTATATATTCATTTGTAAGATACTCCAACTAGGTTAGGTTTAGACGTCTCACTATCCAATCTAGCATAATGTGCTTGACAAGCTCTTTTATCCTAAGGAGACCAAAACCTGAGGCCTCTGGCATCAGAATACTACTAGGAAATAAAAGAAAAAAATCTCAGTCATTAGAAAATTTAAGGATACATTTAGGCAGGAAAAAATATTTCACTCCAATCTTCTAATGGAGGGGAAAAAAGAATTATTAAGGGACTTAACAGCTTTCTGTAAGTACTCACAAAAATCCCTTCCTTTTGCTAGAATAACACTGGAAAAAAACTTTGTATTTATAGGCCTTTAAGAAAAAGCCTGCACATCAAATAACCCCCACATCAAATACTATTACTGTGAAAGTTAAGCAGGATATGAATCAATTCAGATACACATATTATAGAGCTACTATGATAGATAAATCCCCACAAAATAAACAGGCTCCTTTATTCTGACTACAACTCCAAAACTACAATTGTTCATCTTTCTCAACTCTTAGCTACGAATGGAAAACTATAGACCAAATTTCCCACTAAACGCGTAAGTATTCATTGCCCTCTGCTGGTCTAAGAAAGCCAACATAAAGTACACAGTAAATGTTTCAAGCCATGTGAAAAATCCTTCTAAAACCTATATTGGCTTTAATTAGTTTAATTTAATCTTTGACAGTTCGGGCTTTTAAAATGCTTCATTAAAGTGCTTCAGAGTCATCTTTATGAACATCACTTAGTGTAATAAAATTCTGTGAATTAAAAGTATAGGAGATCAAGTATTGAGTCCAGGACCCTTTCTAAAATTTTGAAAAAGACGAGCAATTACCAGATGTGTCACACACACAGACACACACACACGTCTGTCTTTCAATTTCTAAGGAACATACCTATGTATCTACCTACCTACCTATCTATATATGAGAGCCAATCAAATTATTTCAGGAGCACAGGAAAAAGGTTACTAAATTATTAGTAAAGTGGCCTTGGGCATATTTGTTTTAATGGCAGAAGGACAACTAAATTCAAAGCCCCTTTTGGTGCCACACTATAACAAAATGATACAGAAAGAGCTCTTGGACATCTGATAATATAATTAGGCTTTTACCTTTTAGGGAAAAATTTGAAAGAGTCTGTTTTATACGGCTAAATAAATTAGAAGTTGTCCAAGTTCTAATTCTATTCACGAAGACAGCAAGCAAAGTTATAAAACCTCTTCCCTTTTCCAAATACTCTTATTCTTGTTTAGACAACGTCAGGCCTAACCCAGGGCACTGAAAATACCAATTGGGTAACTGCCACAGATACCAAAGTCCTAACAATGGCTAGGGGTCAGTCTTTAGAAACTTCTCTAAGAGCCCAGCTAAATTCTGTACAATTTTAAGATTTCTTTTTTATCAACACATCTTACTTTACTGGGAACTGGGTAGCTCTAGGGATTGGTTATAGAATTCAAAGTCAGTTTCTGACAGAGCTATACCTGAGAAGTAGGTTACAAAATATGCAGCTTGCTTAAATAATTGATAATGTTCTTAAAATGATGAAATTCAAATAACCCTCTTAGAGTATGCTTGAAAAACTCTGATTTTTTAAAATATTATTTATCAGCTTTAAAGTCAGATTCCACTTATAATTTTCTTGAAGAAAAATAAAAAGGTGAGGTTAGGGAAAACATCCAGAGGTCCCCTAATTTTAATGAACAGCTCCCAAATAGGACAAAACCCGGGCAGAACAGCCTTCTCTATCCCACAAAAATTGAGATAATTTTAAGTATACCCAAAGGGGTATAATTTCGGGAGAGACTCACTATTAAGTTACCACACAGAGCAGGATTCTGTTCACTTGTGAAATCGTCACAAGGTAAATACATCTATAAAAACATCACTGGAACTAATCGAAGACCCCAAAGTCCTTATATGTCTTCATAAATTTGGTACAGAAAAAAAAAAAAAAATCAACATTAAATTCTCATTAACAAAAAAAACCCTATTAGTTTCCAGGAAAGAGAATCTGAATGACTAAGCTCCTACCTGGAGAAGTCTTTAATCCAGTCATATTGAACATGTAGATGTTGTCATCTGTGCAGTTAGCAAATAAAGTAGAGCCAGTAGAATCCAAAATCAGACTTGAGTATCCTAGAAAAAGGAAACTTTAGTTAGCATGTGCTGATGAAGGAGAGTAGAACTGAGGTGAAAATGATCTTTTTAGATCATTTCACAAGAATCATCAGAATTCTTCTTCCCTAAAGTATATACAAACCAAAATTATTCTTAGGAGTTTCTCTCTTTTGAACTTTAAAAAGATACTTCCATATATTAGTTTCTCAAGTCAACAGAGAATAATAGTTGCTGAAAACTAGCTTGATATTTACTTTAAAAGTTTTAACAAAAACTTACATATCCAAAAAAGCCCTACAAAAAAGTCCTAATGAATACGCAAAGGCTTACCTAGTTTTCGAGTGCTGCTACCTGGGTACAGGAAAGACTTGGATGCTATGGGTTCTTGCCGATAAGCAGTATAATTCTTACGTAAATCCCATATTTTGATTACCCTAAAAACCAAGGTAAAGAAATAGTTATTTTATAGTCCTTCTCCAAGACCAATCAGTTTCAAGTACATATGAATATGAAATGACTTTTAATCTAATTCCTCTGGCACATCAACCAGGTACAGTGAGGATATGTCATTGGGAAACAGATTGAACTATCTTGTACTCTTGTCTCCAATGTCCGGCTAACAATTCTGGCAGAACGGAAACAGATGTGATCTGACCCACTGATGGGTTGCCCTGAGTTTACTTCAAGGGAGCGGAAAAGGAAGATGAAGGTTGACTGCTGATAGTCATTGTTTCATTGTTTTCATAAAAAAGCACTTCCTAAGCCTTTAACATTCTGCATGTAACCTTTGACATCATTAAGTGTTAAGCTCTGTCCCTATGGTTATATCTCCATATATTAACTCCTTAAGTAATCTAGTCTAAACAAATTTTCCTGTGAAATAAAGTATTTCTTCATATCATCTATTGGAATAATTTTCTTAATTTTCTACATCTACTTTGTAGGCAACTTGAAAACACAAGCTTGGTTATAAAAGGGAAGTATCCTTGGAAGCAAAGCTTTCACAGCCATTTACAAATATAACTAATAACCTTTAGATAATTCTACATTTGTGCCTGAGAATTCAGTCCACAGAAGAGTTTAAGTGTCCAGAGGACACAATAGAAATTCTAGTTTATTAAGCCATCATATGTTAAAATTAAAACTTTTGAAGGGGGGTATGTCTTGGGAGATATGGGCAAAAACGGGGCAAAGAAGAGAATTTTAAAAAGAAAGAGCCCCTATACTCAATGAACTTAAATTCCAACAAAGCAAACAATCAAGAAGTATCACAAACTTATTTGGAAGCCAAAAATTCAAAGCAATCATAGAAGGAAAGTATATGAAAGTCTTTAGGCCTATCAATCTAGTTAGATTGCTCCCAGAAATGCCAGTTACATGTCCAGAATCATATTCCTCCTTTTAGGATATTACTAAACCAGAAAAGACAAAATCCAAAATACAGGCATACCTCATTTTACTGTGCTTTGCTTTATTGTGCTTTACAGATATTGCGTTCTTTTATGAATTGAAGGTTTGTGGCAAGTCTATAGGTGCCATTTTTCCAAAAGCATCTTCTCACTTCATGTTTCTGTGCCACATTTTGCTAATTCTCCCAATGCTTCAAACTTTTTCATCATTATTATATTTGTTATAGTGATCTGTGATTGGTGATCTTTGACGCTACTATTGTAATTATTTTGGCATTTTTTAGCAATCAAATATTTTTATATTAAGGTCTGTATATTGATTATTTTAGACATAATGCTACACACTTAGTAGACTATAGTAGACTATAGTAGTCTACTAGACTTAGTAGACTATAATGTAAATATAACTATATAGTAATATAATAAACTATAATATACTAATATAAATACAGCATAATATAAATATAACTTTTATATATACTGGGAAACCAAAAAAATTCCTGTGACTCACTTTTTTGTGATATTAGCTTTATTGCAGTGGTCTGGAACCAAACCTGCAATATCTCTGATATATGCCTGTAACAGAAATTTTGCTCCTCAAAATAAGAATCCTTGATTAAATTACACTGCACAGGCAAGCAAGTTACCCAGCCAGCTTCTCTAATAGCAGCAGCAGCCAACACTCCTATGTGCTAGAAATGTGCTAAGTGTGATACATTATCTCATTTAATTATTTGAGCAAGAGTCCTAACTAGATATTTTCCAGTGTGATCTGTAATTCCTCTTCTCAGCTGGGTACTCACTATGTTGAAAGTTAAAAGCACACACATTGAATTATAATGGGTCTAGGTGACTTCCCCATCCCAGTTCATGAAAGACAGCTCACCAAAAGAACCAAGAAATAAAGACTCGTCTTACCCATCCACGGCTCCTGCTGAGACTAATGTATTCTCATCTTGAAAGAGGACCACAGTAACACTCTGCTGGAAATCCTACAGCACAAGGAAGAAAAAGAAAGAAGGAAATCCTATTTTGGGTATAACAATCTTCACTATCAAGAGACCAAGGTGCTAAAATGATGGCTTTTTCCCCTAAACTGAGTATGACTAGATCTTGCCCTTCCAATAATCCTAGTCAGATATATATGCAGACCAAGAAGGAATTTTAGCAAGGAAGTGACCTAAACATCATGTTATATTACATAGTATGAACACTTTGACTCATATTCAAGAAAAAACTGGTGATTAACATAAGATTTTAGTACTTGTCTAAGTCTACTAGCTCTATTTGAAATCATCCCTACTGTCTATCCTTAGGAACCTCATTTAACCTGTACCTGTTTCATCTATAAAATGTTGCTGTCTATCCAGATTGTCATATACGAGTGTCTAAAGAATTGTGAACGAAAGATGGTTACATGCTATGAAAACTCTAAAGGAGCTAGTAGAGTTTTACTTCCTAATTGCTGTTAAGTTTTCTTGGCTAAGAATCTGATGAAAAGTCTGAAATGTTACTCATTTTAACTTCATCTGGCCTCCAAAAATCACATGCTAACCCTGTCAGTTTCCATTCATGCCCGTGTAATTTTAAGTCCTAATGTTCTAGCAACCACACGTCCCCAAAATATTAACTAAGACTCTACACACCAAGAATACTAGAAAAATAAACAAATTCAAGTAAGAACACTGATTTTTCTTAAAGAAAAAAGCTGTATTATGGGCATTGTTTGAGCTTTGACTATAATATGCTAAAGAGGTACTATATTTTACCCCAATATTTCTCAAAATACTTTATAATCTTTTGCCAAATATTAAAAAACAAAAATAATAAAAAACCCGTATCTTTTCTGCAGTTTGTATTATGAAAACAACAACAGGGATTCCTTTCCCCTACAGAATACTGTATCATGGTACTTAATATGCTTCTTCAAACTACCCATCTCCCTTTCCTAATGAATCACATCATACTGTAGATGATGTGTATGCATGGAGATCTCTAGGGATGAGTCTCAGGAAACTGAATTTTTAACATGTTCCCCAAGTGACTCTGTTGCACACTAGAGTTTGAGTACCAGTACCATAGGTACTGAACTGGTATTAAGCAATAAGCCAGTGACATCAAGAGGAAATGAAGATTCTCATTCATTGACTGAATCTCTAGCTCCTATTTTATGCCCAACGAATTCCCTAAAGTAAGACTCTATGCTACTGTCAAGATCTGCACACATGTATACAGCTATAAAACCTTACCACAGAAGGAGCAAGCCCTTTTGAATTCTGTTTCTTCTTAGGTTTTGAAGGGGTTTGCTTGTCTAAGGTATTGTGAGCTCCACTGATTTGATTCACTTGCCTATAAAATCCATCTGAAAAATATTCCAAGGTAAATGGTTTAGGTTTCAGAACTTTATTCCCATGCTGAATGTAACATTTATATATAAGATGTCAAAATTAATTATATTCTTTATTAAATTAGTGAAATTAGAAGCCAGCAGGGCTACTGTACGACATCTCTTGTGGTGAGATTATGATGTATAAAAAGGAAATAAGCACATGGATATTTATAGCAGCTTTATTCATAACTGCCAAAACTTGGAAGCAACAAAGATATCCTTCAGTAGGGGAATGTATGAATAAAACTGTGGCATATGTAGACAATGATATATTATTCTGTGCTAAAAAAAAATGAGATACCAAGCCATAAACAGACCTTAAATACGTATTACTAAGTGAGAGAAGGCAATCTGAAAAGGCTACATACTGTATGATTCCAATTATATGACATTCTGGGAAAGGCAAAACCATGGAGATAGTTAAAGATCAGTGATTGCTAGAGGTTAGGGGGGCGTGCAGGATGAAGAGGACAGAGGACTTTTAGGGCAGAGAAACTATTCTGTATGATACTATAATGGTAGGTATATGTCACTATACGTTTGTCACAACCAAGAGAATGCATAATACCAAGAGTGAACCATAATGTAAAGTACAGACGGACACTGGGTGATAATGATGTGTCAGAGTAGGTTCACCAATCGTAACAAATGTCCAACTCTGCCTGGACGTTGGACATGTCGACAGTGGGAGAGGCTGTGTAGGGACAGGAGGTATATCAGTACAGAGAGAACTCTTTGTACATTCTGTTCAATTTTGCTGTGTATCTAAAATTGCTCTAAAAAATAGTGTATTAAAAATAATGTTTTTTAAAAAAAGTGAAGCAGGGAGATGATCATTGCTTTCTGCTTAATGGCATCATGGGGCAATGTGAGTATAATTATATTTAATTTAATCCAATTCTTAAAAGTTCCCAAATTTTTAAAATAAAAGATCATGTACTAATAATTTCAATTCCATCAATAATTTAGGTAAATGGCATTATAGTTCAGAAAACAATATGAGGTAAATATGGAGGGTAATACTTAAAACAATCACTAAGATCCTGAGAACTGAACAGAGCAGAATTGGGGTTTATGAACATGTGCCCCCTGGTGGTAATCAGGTGAAATAGTTGATTCTTTCATTCAGAATTATTATGGGACAATCCCACATATATCAAAATTAAAATGGAACTAGATTACCTTTTTTGTTGCACCTGGTGTCCCAGACCATAATGTTGCCATCTCTTCCACCTGTACAGAAGACAGCTGCAGACACACAAACAGTTTATCAAGAAGTTAACAAAACCAGTCAGTGACACATATATTTCAATTTAAATTTCCTAGAGTATCTATTATATGTTAGGTACTGTAATTGGCACTGGAGATTAAAAATGATAAAATATATAGCTCAACACAAATAAGAAAACAAAGCTGTGAAGGGAAAGGATTATAAAGAACTCAAAATGCTTATGTTGAGCAAAAGCTTGATAGAATAATCCCTCTCTGTAAATTTTCTTTAAAACCACATGAAACACTATACTATAAAGTTGTAGTAAGAATAACGATAAATAAGCAATAACCAAAATATACTGAGTGCTTATTAAGTTTTAGACACTATCCTAAGTGCTTTTTTATAAATGACCTCAATCCTTGTTATCAACCCTATTAGGTGGGAATTATTATCCCCATTTTACAGATAAGCAAAACTAAGGCATAGGGAGGATATGTAACTTGCAAAGGTTATTATTTTTGGCAGTATGTATCCAGAGCCCATATTCCAAACCTCCAAGCTGTATTGTCTCAGTATAAAGATACAAACCAGATCCACATAAAGTTTGTGAAAGGCGTTGCCTCTGGCGATGGAAGGAGAGCGGTGAGATCAGGGGAGGGAACACAGGGGAACTCCAGTTTATCTGTCATTCTTTATTCTTTAAAATTAAACCAAAAAATTCTGCTTCCTGTATGAAAGAGGGAGCACTTATCAAATTGTAGGTGGATTAATTTGATAAGTACTCTGGTCAAAATACAAAAAACAGCTACTTGAGGGTCATATAGACATTGACCAAAACCATACAATTTTTGTAAGGGAGTCACACCTGAAGCAAGTGACTGGCCTAGGGTAAGTTCCTGATTTTTTGTGGTTTTACCTTGAGGGCAGCCACAGTTGTAGCATCAGAACCAGGCAGCCAAAGTGCCAACAAAAAGACCATCTTTCAAGCCAGAGGAACTAGGAAAAGAGGACAGGGGCAAGAAGAGCTGCCAGAGGAAGTGGGGAAGCCTGGAGACAGCAGAGAAAGGGAAACCCTAATTCTGTGTTTAAACTTAGCCCAAGTCTCTGGCTGACCCCCAAACCATATGTGCATAGGAAAGCTAAAAGCAGCTTCCAACTAAGGCTTAAAGAACTGAATTGAGATCCGATCTTCTGAACTGACTGCCTTCCCACAGGTTTGACATTATGCTATTTGAGTCTAAATGATTTAACTGCCTGTTAAAACAAAAACACCAACTCTTCCCTGAGCAACATAACAGAATTCAGAGTCCAACACACCATTCCCAATGCCCAGGGTATGATCTTAAGTTACTTGCCATATACAGAGCCAGGAAAATGCGTCATTCTCAAGGGAAAGGAAATCAACAGAGGCCAGCCTCAAAACAACCCAGATGTTGATTTATCAGGTCTGGTTGTAAAAGAGATATTACTGTCAAGTGAAATAAAGAGACACTCATAATCAATGAAAAGATGAGAAATCTCAGCAGAGTAACAAACAGAACTTATTGAAAACAAATGGAAATTTTAGAACCCAAGCCCACAACTTCTGAAATGATAAAATTCACTGGATAGGCTTAAGAGCAGAATGGAGAGAACAGAGGAAAACGTCTATGAACTTGAAGACAGATCAACAGAAATCATTCAATCTGAGGAAGAGAGAAAAATAAGATTGAACATTATGCTAAGTGAAAGAAGCCAACAACATATTGTGTGGTTCTATTTATACGAAGGTGCAGAAGAGGCAAATTATATAGAGAGAAAGTAGTTCAGTGGCTGTGTAGGGCTGGTAAGACGGAAAGTACTGCTAACAGGTTCTGGTTTCTTTTTGGGTTGATGGAAACATTCTAAACTTAGATTGTGGTGATGGCTGCAATACTCTATAAGAAAATTAAAAACCAGTGAAATGTACACATTAAATGGGTGAATTTTATGGGGTGTTAATTATATCTCAAGTTTAAGAAAATTGAAAAAGATGAAGAAAGCTTCAAGGATTCATGGGACAATTTCAAAAAGTCTAATACATGAGTAATTGGAGTCTCAGGAGAGAAAATTGGGCAGAAAAAAATATTTCAAGAAATCATGGCAGAAAAATTCTCAGATTCAGTGACACATATTTGTAAATTTACAAATTCAAAAAGCTCAGCAAGCCTCAAACAGGATAATTTTGCAGGGAACCATGTCTAGACACATCACAGTCAAACTGCTGCAAACCAAGACAGAAAACCCCAAAGGCAGTCGGGAGAAACAACATAGTACATACAGGGAAAGGATTCAAATGACCAGAGTTCTCCACAGAAACCATGGAAGACACTGGAACAACACCTTCAAGTAATGAAAGGAAAAACCCCGTCAACCTGGATTTTATATCCAACAAAAATATCCTTTAATAGTGAAGATGAAATAAAGGCATTTTCATATAAAGGAAAACAAAGGGGGTTAATTACAACCAGACTCAAACTGCAAGAAATGTTAAGGGACTTTCTTCAGGCTGAAGAAAAATGATTTCAGAGGACAGGGGAAAGATGGTGCTGCTGGGGGAAATCATGAGTTCAGTTTTGGGTATGCTGAACTTGAAGTGCTTGTAGGAAAAGTGAAAGCTGGAAATACAATCTGGTTCAATATGAGTGGAGCAAAAAACAAAACAAAATTGGAATAAATGAAACTGTCCAGGGAGAAGGTACAGACTGAAAGGAAAAGATGGCCAAATACCAAATCTTGGGCCATGTCAACACTTCAAGTTAGGTAAAGAAGTGGAGTTCACAAAAGCAATTATGAAGGAATAAACAGAAATACAGAGAACCAGAGGGAGTGGTATCACAGATTCCAAGGAAGAAAACAATTTTCATGAATTTTAAAATAACTTGCCAGAAGTGTCAAATATTGAACAAGTAGAAGGCAGGGTGGTTTCAGGAAGAGAGATGGAATGGATTGAACCAAACTGAGATGAGGACATTTAACCAGGTTTTGATCACTCTTAAGAAACTTAGAAGAGATAGGAAGTAAGAAAGGATGATAGCTGGGCTTCCCTGGTGGCGCAGTGGTTGAGAGTCCGGCTGCCAATGCAGGGGACACGGGTTTGTGCCCCAGTCTGGGAAGATCCCACATGCCGCGGAGCGACTAGGCCCATGAGCCATGGCCACTGAGCCTGTGCGTCCCGCAACGGGAGAGGCCAAAAAAAAGAAAGGCCCGCGTAAAAAAAAAAAAAAAAAAAAAAAAAAGAAAAAAAAAAGAAAGGATGATAGCTGAAGGAGAATACAAGGTTAAGATGTTTCTTTCTGGACAGGCCACAGATATGCTTGAGTTTTTCCTATGGAGAAAGAGCCAAGAGAAGGAAAGCTTGAAGACAGAGGAGCTGTGGGGATGTAAGTGATAGCATAAGGTCTTGGGGAGGATCAAGAATGTTTCTTAATCTTAGCTGCACACTGGAATCCCTTGAGGAATTTTAACAAAATAGACGCCTGGCCCACCTCCTAGAGATTCACACTTAATTGATATTTTAAAAAACCTCCCCAATGTGTATAACTGAGTCACTTTTCTATACAGAAGAAATTAACACAACGTTGTAAATCAACTATATTTCAATCAAAACAAAACAAAACAAAACACCTCCCTAGGTGACTAATGAGTCAGGGTTGAGAACCAGTGCCCTAGGAAGAAGGATTCGCCTTAAACTGGAGAATGAAGAATGAGAAAGAAGGTGCAAATTTGAAGATAAGTTTGTAGGAGGGGAAATAGAAAAACACTTATAATTATTTTTAATTACTCACTAGAAGTTCTAACACCCATTTTATCACACAAAACACACATCTGTGAGCAACTGGCAATTAGAGATGAAAACATTTTCCATGTTTTCAGGTGGTAGATATTTAGGGAAGGCAAATTCCACTAGTATAACTATGTCCTTTAGGATTATTTGTATCCTGCCCATGTAGGGCTGAAAGAACTGGATCGTGATCTTTCCTACCATGTTACCTACAAAAAACCGCCCCCAAAAAACCCAACCCACTAAGCATTTATATGCTCCTCAGTTTTGTGTTTGTTTGTTTTGGTGTGTGTGCATTCACATCTCACTTCATTTTTTTTTTTTTTCCCTGTACGCGGGCCTCTCACTGCTGTGGCCTCTCCCATTGCAGAGCACAGGCTCCGGACACGTAGGCTCAGCGGCCATGGCTCACAGGCCCAGCCGCTACGCGGCATGTGGGATCCTCCCGGACCGGGGCACGAACCCGCGTCCCCCACATAGGCAGGCGGACTCTCAATCACTGCGCCACCAGGGAAGCCCCTCACTTCATTTTTATGCTTACAGTGTTTTTGTGAATTTGGAAATGAAGGTCCTGGGAGATAAAAATGACTTTGCCCAAGGATTTAAAGGCAGAAAGCAGAACAAAACACAGGACTTCTGTGTATGGCTGTAAAAGTATGTCCTGCACAAGAACACTTGGCTGAGGGGGTAGGGCCTAAAATCTGTGTTTTAGCAACCAAACGATGAGGCCTTGGGGGCAGTGTCCAACCAGACTAATTCACACTAGGGCACCTGTGAACTACTGGGAGCCATGATAAAGGTTACCACTTTTTCTACTAGACCACACTGGCATAGATTCAATGCACAGTTTTAAAAATTAAGTAAAGGGACTGAAAGATATGGTGTTTCCCTTTTCTATTACCCTTTAAATAAACAAATTTAAGTACATTTTCATGACTTTAAATTATTTTTATAAACTTACAATGAACTCTGACACAGGAGTGTAGTAAACTAGAACACAAGCATACCTAACTTTATACAACAGATGTGTTAATGAAAAGTTATGCAGAGATAAAAACTATGTCATGTATTTCCTCTTCAAGGTTCCAGTCTCAACAGCAATCAGCTGACCTTTTTTTAAAGTCCAAACCAGCTCAACAACTCAGTTTAGTACTCCTGGGTGCTCAGGTGAATAAACAAAAACATTCCTTTTAAAAATAGAATATTTTTTAATGATGAAGGGAACTATACTGTTTATTTCTATTATTCCGAGATTAAAATCAGATTGATCAGCCACTTCTTTGAGATGAATGTTTGTTGTCTCACTCTTATTTAGTGAGAAACAAATGGAGGAAGGAGAAAAGAAAACAAAAAAAACAGAAATGAAGAGCTCATTCAGATACCCCTGCTAAGTTTTTCCCCGGCTACTATAGTACTGTTCTGTATTATAGCCCTCTTTCCTATAATCCTCCTTCTCCATTATAATAGTTAAATAAATATAGAAAGATTGTGAGTAAATAACAGTTGAAAACATACCAGGGAACTGGGCCATTTAAAGTAATTATGTGGTAAATTTTTTAGGTAAAGAATCATGTCCAGTTTATCAGGTTTCCCACCCAGCCTCATACTCCATTTAAATTTTACAAGTAGAGTTAAAGTAACTATTTTACAAATGGAGTTAATCAGTGTCCAGTACAGGCTTTGACCTCAAAGGCCACTCAAAGTTGAACAGAGGGATTGTGGCTATTTGTGAATTTTTACCTTATCTGCAAGATTACAGAAAAAAATTATCTGAAGACACTTGACTTTCAGAGACAAGCTGGAGATAATATCCATTAGAATGGGACTAAAATCCAACTTAATTTCATTGAGGTTTCCAAGTCATATTAAGAATCTCAAACATCTACGTAGGTAAAGGAGCAACTCTGACAGGGGAAAGGGTGGAAACAATTACAGCTTATTATTACTTCACCATGAAAGAGGTTAAGGAGATGAAAGAGGGTAAGCATATACCTACCTTTCTCAAACTTAGAAAAGGCAACTGACTTGAGGCTGCACTGATGACCTTTGCACGTTCCAATCAGCTCACCAGCTTTTACATCCCAAAATTTGGCCGTTTGATCACCTGCTGCTGTAACCTTTCAAAAATAAGGTTTCACAGTTTAATAAAGCAACCCTTTACCAGTGTTTACCCAGATCCCAATAAAATGAAAGTCACTTACAAGCTTAAGTTCACCAGGGACCCAGGCCAGGTCAAAGACAGCATTCCAGTGAGCCATCCATTCTAAACAAAGAAAATGGTGAATGTGAACTGTCTAAACTATGTCTTGTGGTAGCCATACCAATAGCTGTTGAAGTGCCTTGAAAGCTGTAGTGAAAAGATCAGTGGTCAGCACACTAAGATCCATAGGCCAAAGAGAATTTGTGGACTTGCACACATAGCACATTTCCTTCATTACCCCATAAAACTACCGTTTGATATCAGATTGTTTTCCATGAGGGTATATATTCTCTAAAATGGAATCTTTATGAAACATTCTCAAAAATCTTCATCATGCTCTCTGTATGGAGTTTAAAATACTTTGGTTTGACATTCAAAATTCTGCTTGCTTCGGCCGTATCTCTTACTGTTCTCTGTATATCCTATTCCAACCAAACTGGAGCGCTCCCTATATGCTCATTATATCCTATGGTTTCCTATCTCTAGGCCTTTACTAATGCTTTTCCCTCCACCTGGAGTGTCCTATTCCACCTCCACGGGTCTAAATACCAGAGTCTGCCTCAAATGTCCCATCCTTCATGAAAAATTTTCCTCACCTTCTTTGATACGTAAGAGCTCTTTGTGACACCTGTGGCGTTTTCTTTGTATTTCCTCTACATCATCTATAGCCTTTGTTTTACTTTAGTTATCTCAACACTTGACTTACTAGTTCCAGATTATTACCTTCCTAAGGTCAGTAGAACTTTGCCTTATGTATGTAAGATGTTTGTTCAATATAAATATTTTAAAGCAACATTTCCCCACATTAAGTATAATATAACAAATTTTAACTTTTTAAAAGAAAAACTGTTTTTAATCCTAAAATGTATTTTTCTTAACTTTCAGTAAAGGCTTTGCTGCCGTTAACAGTTATCGACAGAAAGGCAGTCCACCATTTACTTTCAGCCTGGCCCCTAAACAGGCTTAATCAGAAGTGAGTATCACTGAGAATTTATTCAAATAGTAACTTCCTTGAGGCTTTATGAATTAAAAATGTTCAAACAGATATTTTAGACCCCGACTTACCTTTGACGCACTTCTTTCTACTGGTTTGTGATTCTGTGTTATATAACCTAACGAAGCCTTCTTCATTGGCAACTGCTAGTATATGTTCCATATTGGGAGCTAAATAAGAAATAAAGAATAAAATATATAAAGAGTAACAAAAAAATTTAAAGCTGAGTTTAAATCTATACAAACAACAAAATATAAATTAACTGAATAGCTACAATCTATTTGAAAAGAGGTAAGATGATTCTACCCAAATAACACCTGCTATGGTAGAGAGGTTTTTCTGAATTAAAGATGACTGAGGGATTCCCTGGTGGCGCAGTGGTTGAGAGTCCGCCTGCCAACGCAAGGAACACGGGTTCGTGCCCCGGTCCGGGAAGATCCCACATGCCGCGGAGCCGCTAGGCCCGTGAGCCATGGCCACTAAGCCTGCGCGTCTGGAGCCTGTGCTCCGCAAAGGGAGAGGCCACAACAGTGAGAGGCCCGCGTAACAACAACAAAAAAAAAGATGGCTGAAAATTTGCCATAATACCTAATTAAGTAAGTGACTCAAAAACACCAATCCTCAGGTTTCCCTGGTGGCACAGTGGTTGAGAGTCCTCAGATAATCTCTTATTTAAAGAAGGGCTGAATCAAGCATGGTAATTAAACAAAACAAAAGTGGTACTGGCCAATAGCAAATAAAAGCATATGATATATGCATGGCAAATAAAAGCATACGATACAAGCCACCAGCAGGCTGAACCTATTAATTTTATATTCCCTTTTCACAATTTTTTACTTTTCTTTTCTTAAACTTTTAACAGCAGGGACAAGTACTCTATTTCTGTTAATATGTTCCCCAATGCATTGTAGAAAGAGATAGATTCAAACAGGTCAAAAGGGGCAAAAGTTTTCATGATGGCTGAACCTTTGCAACCCTTTCCGGATATCAGTTATAAAAACAAACAAACAAACAAGCAAACAAAAAATGGTGCTATAAGAATCTTATCCCTTAGCAGAAATATGTAATTATGCATAGAGATTAAGAAAAGTCTATTTCATAAATCAGGGGAGAACAGTTATTAGAAAAACTCTATCATCTATCTAATTTACTTTTCTTGAAAGGGAGACACCCCAAAATATTTCCCCTCTGAAGAGTGAAATAGATCATTTCTGACCAAGCCTAGCTTATACAGTAGTTCCCTTACCAGAAGAGAAGGTGCATCCAAAAGGAGGAACTGGGGCTCCTGTTTCTCCATAAGAAGTGTGCTCATCATTATAGTTGCACTGATAACCAGTAAGAAGGGACTGTAGAGGGTATTGTGAAGACCATCCTAAGGTAAGACAAAATTCCTTATAGAGTTCCAATATATCACATTTCAGTACTTTTAACAAATGCAGAGGTTATAAATTCATTTCTAAAAACTTTATATACTTAAGTATAGATCCACTTATTATCCATGGCCCTCTAGAACACAGTTTCAGGTATTTTCCTAAGGGGTCCTAAGGAAAAAATGAAAGAGCACTCTCAGCTTCTGGTGAGATACAGCTTTGGGCTTATCATCTTAAATGGAGACTCTTGCCAATACATTTAAGACTGCAAGAAACAAGTGGCCTTTGCACATTAGAAAAGATCTTACCCCTTCCCCCACCCTTGGGAGACAATCACAAAGCACAACCACAAAGACTACCACAACCATTAAAACTGCCATTCTCGTCAATTAAAATTTTATGTTTTCAGAGTTTCTAAATCATTACTGCAAACTCAAGTTACTAGCAACATCACACATAAGCCAATGGCCAGAGAGTTAAAGGAAATAAGGTATGTCAATGTGCCTACTGTAGCCCCTAGTATACAAGTATACGAGAGAGGAAGAAATTCAGGGTGGAGGGAAAGTTTATTCTGCTTGGGTCAGAAAGCTGATGTGTACTATGGTCCTAAAATAGTAAACCATCTTGATTTGTTTTATCATTTTGATACGTGGGTCAACATATTTTAAATATATAAAAGAAACATTCATTCAATATATAGTTACTGAGAACCAAATGTTTAGTAAGCATGGGAGGAAACAATGAAGTTACAATCTAGAGAGCTGTCTAAATAATTAACAAACACTCTCATACTTTAGGGTACTTTCAATTCTCACTTTTCATAAAAAAAATACCATTTGGAGAAGAAATCTTAGCCTGATATAACCTCAGATAAATCTGGTTTTGCGTGTTCATAGAAATAACCTGAAGAAATGCAAACGAGGCAAATAAATTCGGTCCAGATTTAGTAATTATTCCTGGGGGTATTACCTTAAGGCTAGATACGATTGTAAACAAGCCATTAAAGACCACTAAAAGAAGAATATGAATACAATAATTAGTTATGTGGTCGAGTTCACAAATATCCATCTACAGAATGAATTTTAAAACAAAAGGCTCTGTTCTAAAGTTATATAAACATACACTTGTAGTTTGGGATTAAAAAAAACAAAACCAAAAACTAATGATCACAACTCATGAATTCAAAAGGAATCTTGAACAGTTTAAGTGGAACTGAAGATGATAAGCTCTGGAGACCTAAATTCTTTACAATTAAACAGTGACCCCTCAACTCTGTCTCATTGCCTACAAACTATATCCAAACACCAACAAATGGCCTAACGTGGCTTAGTAACTGGTCCCTATTTACCCCTCCACCTCTGTGATTGTGACAACACACACTTCATGGACAAGCCCCGTAAGCTACTTTTGGATCCTTATTGTTCTATTCTGTTTCCAACATGAGCGTTTCCCTCACAACACTCATTTGGAAAAGACTATTATTTCTTCAACGCACAACTTAAGCCCCTGGGGTTACATGCAGATTTTTCAAGGAGAATGAGAGCTGTCGGAGAACTAATTTCCAGATACTCAACTTCCATATATATAGTATTTCTAAAACTGACCTGTCTACAATGTCGAGGTCAAAGCTTTTCCCCCTCTTCATCACTACCTTTCTTCCACTTTTCAAAAGAAAGGCATTTCCATGACCCAATCTTATACCTTGCGTTGACTCAAGGTACAAAAACTCCTGGGACCCCATTAACAGACAGTTGGATAACTCCTTTAATAAAGGCATCATAAACACCCAAATCCATCTCTTTAAAACATAGACTTTCAATAAATTTTTATTTTGCTTAATTATTTATTGAAATTAGTAATCCATATTGTTTTGATCAACGACATACTACTAAAAATAGTAATGATAAGTCAACCCAGAAGAAACTTTTAACACTTAGAGCTTTATGATCACAGAAAACATCAATTTAAACATATTTTTTTACACAGAGAAATAAGATAGCGTGATCAATAAAATGACTTTTCAAGCTTAAAATCAAATCACATTAGGATAAATTCTGTGGGAGAAATAAAGTGGTAATAAGCTCAAGGGGAAAAAACAACTATGTAGAACATCTAGCAGTTAGAATTAGTTCATACTTTTCAAAAATGATTGATGTGATTATTAAGTCACTACAGTATTTACAGTCTATTAGATACATTTTAAAGACTGATGTAGCAGTAGCATTTTTATTTAAAAAGGTCATCACTCACAATATGGCCAGAGATGACATCCTTTGCATCTGTTTAAACTTATGATAAAAACTTTCAGATACCAATTTAAAAACACACAGAAGAGTAATCAGTTTCCATGTCAGAAAGATCATTGGCAGCAATGTGGAGGATAAACTGGAAAGAGGGAAACTAAGAGGACATTTGGGAGACTTGTCACAGTTCAGACAAGAACCTATTATGGCCCAACCTAGGGAAATAGAATGGTAAGCATAGGACAGATCCAAGATATGGTGAAGAGGCAAAATCAGTGGGGATACCGAGGAGGAAGGATTAGAGATTTTAAGGGGACTTCTCTGAATGCGTATCTTGAGGAAAATGGAGGAATTCTGATTGACTCTCAGGTTTCTGACTGTGAAGACCAGTTTAAAATAATGAGAGCATTTCCTAAAATAGGTAATATAGCAGGTTTGGGGGAAAAGTGAGTTCGGTTTTGGGTATTTGAGTTTGAGATGCTTACAGGACTGACCATCTGGATGATACAACTCTCACAGGAATGGATGTAAAGTATAAGGAATGGAAGGTTGCAGGTAGTAATAGAAGAAACCCTGGTTACAGCTATGATCACCCATGGGAGTAGGTAGAAATAGAAAAGGGGCCTAGGATGGAACACCCTCATGGAAGGGGAAAGAAGAAGATGGTCGTATAAAGTTCAGTGCATTATATATAACAATGAATGAATTTCAGCGCCTAACACATAACAACGCATGAGTATTTGGGGGCTCAGGGTGGGCTGTCTCAAAACATGCCACAATGGCATATTGATTATTTTGCATTGAAGTTGCTTGAGAGGCAGCTGATGCAAGAAGGAAACTCTGACCTCCCTGTCTCCCTGAAAAGCAGGAAATAAATCTCTTATGAAAGGTGCATTCCTTGCAACTGGAGGTAGAAGGACCCCCTAATACGTCAGAGATAGGGAATTCAGAGCCAAGAAGCGTGTGTAAACAAACCTTGTTACTTCTTTTATTTTACTACCTGAAGCCCAAACTCTGTTTAGATTCTTCACTTAGTAAGCATCCCAAACCTAAGTTTCTTTGTCCTGTCAATTCCTCACAAATTTATTGTTTGTTTTTTTTTTGTCTGAAGAGTATAAAAGCTGCCTTGCTTTGGCCATTTCTTAGTCCCATTTCTATGAGACCTCCATGTACATGAATTAAAATTTGTTTTTCTCTTGCTAATCTGTCTTGTGTCAATTTTATTAGTCCAGCCATAAATACTCAAGAGGGGTAGAGGGGAAAATTTACCCCTCCCTGATAGGTATTTGTGAATTAGAGGGAAAAGGAAAGTAGAATGTAGAATTAGGAGAAAATCTGTTACAAAATAAAGGCTTCACAGCTTGCTCCAAGTCACACAGATTAAGTAAGGAGTGGAGGTGGAATTAAACCTCAGCAAGTTTAACTCCAAAGACAGAGATCATAACTACTATGCTGTACTGACACTCATGACAGAAGATAGAGAAGTATCTTAAGCAAGGTCACAGGAGAGACAGAAAGAGAAGCATTTAGAGTATAATTTAAAGAGGTAAGGATGGTGGGGTTTTAGATTGGAGGCAGGAAGTGGAGGAACTACTCTCCAGTCTCCTTCTCAATATCCTTCTCCTAGACCTATGCCTTAAATACAAAAAGTTCACTTCTCACATTATTTTCTTTCTGTTTTTCACATGGTTTCAAGCGGAAAGACCTAGTCCATCTTTAAATGAATGAGATTTCATTTGCAGCCAAGCTTAGTCTGGGTAGTAATTCCCTTATCAGAAACTTACCAGAAAGTTTCAGGTTGATGACACCCAAACCTAAGCTCAAAATTCTTATTGCCAATGTTTTAACATAAGGAACTTCAAGAACTGGAGAGAATAAATCAGTTATCTATACACTAACATGGAAGTATTTCCAAGTTTTACCGTTAAAGAAACAAAACATTTTTATCCCATTTCTGTAAATAACAATACTTACTACCTCTGGCATTGAAGAACATTTGGAATAAAATACTTCAGTCTATTAATAATGGTCATTTCTGGGAAATGTGCTTATGGGCATTTTTCGCTCTATAACTACGAGTTTTTATGCTCATGTATTAATCAGGAGGAAAAAATTCTGACCATGCTAGAAGCAGATGTTCTGTCTTCTCTGCTTGACTGAGTTCCTTAACAGCGGGTCATAGTCACTGTTATATATAGCAAAGAGTAGGGCTCACTAAGGTTCCACAACAAATGAATGAATTAATCAATGAATATGAGTCTTGACGATCTCACATAGCTGTTGAGAAAACCACACATACTCCCATGAACGCGTTTTCCAGTTAATGTGCAAAACAGACATAGCCGTAATGGAGGCCAGTTAACTCAGCGTCCCTCCCTCCGTCAGCCTACACTACAATTGAAAAAATCCCGATTACGACTAAAAGTGTCTCGAGAGCACGAAAGTGCAGCTTTCTTCAGTACTCTTCGCTAACACGAACTCACTCTGCCTGTGGGAGAACTCGGCGGCTGGGAAACAGAACTGGAGTCGGCGTTGGTCCGAGGTGTTGTTCGGGGGGAGGTGAATCCCGCCGGCAACAGGCAGCGGTTAGGGCCGTTACTCACCATTTCTCGGGACGCCAAACTGGGGCTGGCGGAGTACCGAATTGAAGAGCATCTGGGCCGGAGGAAAACTTTCAACTGAGAGAAAAGCCGTGGAAATGCCCCCAGATTCAGCAGAAATCTTATGTGGCGTCCCTTAGAACACGACTACTTATTGCCTCCAACTCCCGCCACCGTAAGCCCCGGCCACCAAACTCCCCGCCAAACTGACGTCACGCCCTCTGATTGGCTCCCGCCGCGGCGTCCGGGCGCGCCCGAGTCACTTCCCCCTTCGAATCCCCGCCTCCTTTTCTCCCAGCCGCGGGAACCTGGAGTTCCTGAGCTCCCTGAGCGCCTGCGCGGGGGGCCGCAGAGGCACTGGCGAACGGCGGGGAGACCAGAGCGCATGCGTAACACGGCTTGACAGAGCGCGGAGGAAAAATCCGCGAGAAGGTGGTGGAAGAAGATGGCGGTGCTGGGGAAGAGTTTGCAATCTTTCTGAATAGGCTAGTCGAGTAACTGTTCGGGTCATGGCGTCAAACTCAACTAAGTCTTTTCTGGCAGATGCCGGCTATGGCGAACAGGAGCTGGATGCTAACTCTGCCCTTATGGAATTAGACAAAGGTATTCGAAAGAGCGGGCTGAGCGGGTGAAACGCATGTGGGGGGACGTGGCGCCCCCAGGCGGTGGTAGCTTCGGGAGAAGCCGGGAAGGCGCATGCGCCTATCTTCCCTGGGCGGGGGCGGGCGCTGGCGCCAGTGCTTTTGGTGAGTCCAGGGCTTTTGCCGCTTTGCGAGATTGCCGGGAAATTGCAGCGTTGTTAGATTGGCCTCGTACAGGTGAAAAAGTAGCGAGTGGGGGCCGTTTTGACCACTTGAGGGCACAGTCTCGCGATTTTCCAAGCAGTTTCTAAAAACGATAAATTGAAATTGTGAAATTATTTTTCAGTATGTTCAGTTGAGACCAGGTCTTCACCAAGGGTGCTGAATAATAATCTTGCACCGACTTATAACGATTCATTTGATTTCTGTAATTCTTACCTGCCGGTTATTAGGCAGGTTAAAAATAGGGCCAAGACCATCCGAAAATCAGAGCCCCTGCTCATTCTCTGCAGACGGATTCCACGAGTTCTATTTCCTTACGGGAGTTGGAGTGGTGGGAGCTTGGTGTAGTAGTAGGAGCTTTGGATAGACTGAGTTGAATTCTCATATCGTTCATTTTATGATCCTGGACAGGTCACCTAAGTTAACCTAACCTTGTTTTTTTTTTCTGTGCAAAGTGGGTAAAGTACCATTGAGCTAGCAAGATTGTTGTAAATATTGTGATATAATGGTATGCAAAAGAAGCCTTTATTAAATGCAAAAGCGATTTGCCTTCTTTCTTAGATATGGATCTGGGAGGCATGGGCAGATCTTGTCAGTAAAGAACTGAAGTATTAAAATGAAACCTTTGTTTTCAGTGTACTTAAATGATTTTTATTGAATGGGGGAACCATTTTGTCACCTGGTATGCAGTTAATTTTTAACCACAACCAGTGTGTAATATATTAAGAACTAGAGGTTAGAAGGATTTTTCTTAAAGTCCACTTTGAGCCACTTCCCAGCTCTCCGACTTGGACACTATCTTATACTTTCGGGGGACTCTTTGTTTGTTTTTTAACCTGTAAACATTTACAGCGGGTTCGTCTAGATAAGAGTTTCTCAGACTTTTTAAAAAAGCTTTTAAGTCCTTTTGCTCAACATAAAAATGCCACAGCACTCCAATGAGATATTCCTTTGGTTGAGTCACAGTATCTTTAGTGCAGGTCCATCAGCCGAGAAAATGATGTTGAGCTTTGATTTCTCAACAAATCTATGAGGACTTTTCCCTCTAAAATGTAAAGTCATAACATTAAATGTGTTTTTTTTTAATAAATTTTATTTTTTTAATTTATTTTTTGTAGTTGAAGTATAGTTGATTTACAATGTTGTGTTAGTTTAAGGTGTACAGCAAAGTGATTCAGTTATACATATACATGTATCTATTCGTTTTCAGGTTCTTTTCCTTTATGGGTTATTATAAAGTATTGAGTATAGTTCCCTGTGCATTCTTTCTTTTTTTTTAAAATTAATTAATTAATTAATTAATTTTTTGGCTGTGTTGGGTCTTCGTTTCTGTGCGAGGGCTTTCTCTAGTTGAGGCAAGCAGGGGCCACTCTTCATCGCGGTGCGTGGGCCTCTCACTATCGCGGCCTCTCGTTGCATAGCACAGGCTCAGTAGTTGTGGCTCACGGGCCTAGTTGCTCCGCGGCATGTGAGATCTTCCCAGACCAGTGTTCGAACCCGTGTCCCCTGCATTAGCAGGCAGATTCTCAACCACTGCGCCACCAGGGAAGCCCCTAAATGTGTTTTTTATACACTACATAATCTTTTCCTCCCCATTCTGATATTTCCTTCCTTATTACCCTCTTAAGAGTTGCAGGTCTGGATATCTAATATTCCTACTAATTCTGTAAAGACATTTTCTACCACTGTGGTCCAGGTGGACTCATCCCATAATGACAGTAGAGCAGTGGTGTGGAACAGAATTGGGATGGGACTTTGAAGAAATGAGAAATCTAGAATTGTTTAATTCCGAAAAACTTGAAGTTGTAGTAAGAAAAAGTATAACACAATTTTCCTTCTTAAAAATTGGAATAGGAATATTTCAGATCTGTAAGAAATATATAGGTGGCTATTGACTGTAAACCAGGTGTCTGTCCTAGATACTAAGTGATGGTGTTAAATCCTCCCAGCAGTGCCTTGGGTGAGTATTTTACAGGTAGAATTTGATGTGGGGTTACTTGAATGCATGGATGCTCTACAGATACTGAGGGACTACTGTAGTGAGGAGGCAATTGTATCAGTAACAATCCAGGGAAAAGAGAATAGTGGCTTGGGCCAGGGTGGTTACAGTGAGGCTGTGTGAAGTGCTGAGATTCTGTGTATATTTTGAAGGTATAGCCAACAAGAGTAGCTAATGAATTGGATGAGAATGTGAGAGTTAAGTAGTCAGGAGAAAGAGGTTTTTGGTCTGAGCTACTGGAAGTATGTATTGCCATTTACTGAGTGGATGAAAATCAGATCAGTTTGAGACTGTTAAATTTGAGATGTCTCTTAGACATCCAGCTGGAGATGTTGGGTAGGCAGTTAGATATACAGATGTGATACTTGAACTACATTATAAAGAAGTGTCTGTAGCACTAGTGTCAAGAAATACACTTGGGAAATGGTGCCATTTATAACCTGTTATATGTTTATAACCATTGCACTTTGTTCTGAGCATTTTGAGCAAGCGTGGCAGTAAGCAACTTGTTTCTGATCTCTCTAGGAATAAATGGATGCCCTTTTTTTTTTTTTTTTTTTTTTTTGCGGTACACGGTCCTCTCACTGTTGTGGCCTCTCCCGTTGCGGAGCACAGGCTCTGGATGCGCAGACTCCGCGGCCATGGCTCGCGGGCCCAGCCGCTCCATGGCATGTGGGATCTTCCCAGACCGGGGCACGAACCCGTGTCCCCTGCATCGGCAGGCGGATTCTCAACCACTGCGCCACCAGGGAAGCCCATGGATGCTCTTTTAAAGCTGACTTAACTCTGTTCATTTAGGATGTAGTTAGTAACACAGAAAAATCATCATTCATATAATAGCCATTAAGTCATTCAACAAATATTTACTGATCATCTACACTGTGTTAGGCACTCAGACTTGGGGCTATATTAGTGAACAAAACAGCTTTAAGAAGCTCACATGAGGCAGACAGGGCTAGATCAAATATGGCCTTGTTAGGACAAGAAGTTTGGATTTATGCAAAGTGCATTGGGAAAACATTGAAAGTTTTTAAGCAGAGGACTGACATGGATTGTTTTACATTTTTGAAGGTCACTTTAGCTCCTATGTAGAGGTCGTTTTGCCTTCCCTTTTTAAAAGTTTTAAGCTGATAACCATGCTGCCTGAGCTGTGAAGACAGCAGAGTTAAGTGTCAAATCAAGTATAACTTATGTATATATGACACATTTCATAATCAATCATTTCTATAATATAGGCATTACAAAGGACATATCTCCCATAATTTACTCAGTGTAACTTTCACTAATGTAACTTCTACACTGTCAGTCTAAAGATTTTTAAGTCAGCTGATGGGAAGTTGTCCCAGTGATTTAGGAAAACTTATGCAAGATCTCCTTCACCCTGGGTGAAAAGGAGAGTCTACCTTAAATGATGTCACTCAGCCTATCTGCTTTCTGTAAGGTTGGCCTTGTGGGGGGGGATGAGATCCAAGAGCAATGGGGAAGAGAGTGGTTTCCCTTTCTTGCACCTGGGCAATGAGAAGGAAGGAAATGTAAGGGGGTGGAGTTGCTGTCTGAGGTGTTGGTGAACTTAATGTTGCATGGAAAAGTTGATGGTATGTTCAATGAAAAAGTTAATTATGAAATAGGAAATTGATGTAAATCAGGACAACTGTCTGTTTTCCCTTAGATGCTGTCACTTCACCTATGTTCCAAAACATCTGAATTCTCAGACTGTGGAAGAGACCACAGGTTGCTTTTACTCTGTCCATATTGGTACAGATGTAGTTGGTATTATGATAAACAAATATGAGGCCCTGTGAGTATCCCCATATCCCCTACTAAAGAGGGAGGTCTCTGAAGCCAAGTTTGTACCAAGTGACTAATTCCAGGCCATAAGTGATTCAGAAGTGGACATGTGACCCACACTGAGTCAATCAAATTCTTTCTCTCGAGAATCTGTACTACCAGACCAAACTTAGTGTGGCAGTATTGAGAAGTGGACCTGTAAGATCATGTAGAATTAAGGTCAGACTCTTAACTCAAAGCCACATAAAAACCAGCATTATAAAGGACTGATTCTTAAAGGCTGGCTGGTGATCCCTTGATGGACTATGAACTGATCCAAAAATCCAAGGCCCTTCTTTAGTTCTTACTGAAATCCATAGACTCATTTTTACATATGGCTAAAAGCTATTATCTTGTAACTTACAAAGTAAGTTATTAAATATTCCTAAAAGTTGGTATTCATAAAAATAATTTGTTTATGATTCTAAATCAGTATTTGTGCATATTGCACAATATTGCATACATTCTCACCATGTATATTTACAGATTCTAAAGTTTAGGGGAAGGATGCTTTATTATTAATGCATCATCAGTTGAACTGACTATCCTATTAGTTGTTTTTATTCTTGCTTTTTAAATATAATTTACTGAGATGTTACCGTGATCAGTTTACTAAGCTGTTGTGAGATTGCTTTG